ATGAGTCGAACTCAAACCCTATCTAGGATCGAGTCGCGAATAAGGCTAAGAGCCGTGTATTGCAACAAGCGCAAAAGCCACAGTGCCAGCGCAGGGGCCAAAGGACGGGCACCCAACAAGGAATCAACAATACAAATAAGAAACGGGTTTGGAGTGCAAGTTTCATCCATGCATCGCCCCTGCATGCACCGAAGTCAAGCTGTCTCGGCATGACGCTGGTCATCACGGATGTTCTGTTCTGCCGACTGCAGAACAACGCAGCTCAATTCTTTTCGCCTCAATTCGTTGGCAATCGGCCCAGGTCGCCTTCTCTACATGTAATCAATCGTTCGAACACAAATCATTGGCATTTTCCTTTTCAAAGACACAAATCTTCCATCCCATCAACGGTAACAATAAAACAGAATACTTTACAATGACTATCCGTAAAACGACTACCGCCATTGCTCTTGCTCTTCTCTGGGCTCCGAATATGAACCAGGCCTTTCAACAGAGCCATGTTCCTGTCCACCGCCCGTTGTCGGCGTTGACAGCGGTGTCACCAGGTGATGCTGCTGCCAATGACAGTTCCGCATTATCGCTGGATTTCGAGGCGTTGGATCGAAAGAATGCCTCCCGCAAAAAGTTTGGACTCAAGCCCGTGACACCGGAAGAGTTTCTCGAGAATGAAGCCGCGGTGGCGCAAATGGCATTGGAACAGCAGCAACGAGTAGTGGAGCTTCAGCAACAACGACAGAGTCAACCAACCCCCGCATTCCCCGGATTCCTCGACAAGATGTTGGACAATGTCTTGCCGGATACCTGTGAAAGTAACTTTGATTGTGAAGCGCCCAAGGTTTGCTGCGACTTTGGTGTCAGCAAGGTCTGCTGCGCGGGAGGACCCAAGCAACGAAGCCGTGAGGGAGAATTGGCTTTGGTGCCTGTTCCTGTGGATGTCATGCCTCCCAACAACCGGTATTAATTTAGAGACCTGACAGAGGAAGGAATTGATTGAAAACGTCTCTCGAGCCCATAACCGCTGAGGGACATTTGGGGTTATGCCATTGTTTCTAGAATCATCACACCAAGGACCACACCCCGATTTTGACCATGAGAACCCCACTTCGATTATGTATCAATAGAATCAAATAAACTATCACTATTAAAAATTGACTATCCTCCTTCTCGGCGAAAGGTAGATCTGACTTCACTTTGTCGAGATAGCAGTACTAGTATATGAGTGCAGAACACTCGTCGCTTTCGATCTTCCCAAACATGTAGACCGTGCACTACAAGCATAGGCATTGGCTTGCGTGCTTCTGGGGTGTCCCTTGTTATGGACAAGCCAAGATTGCCCTCACTCAAGCCCTGTTAGATACTAGCTAGTACGGTACGAGTAGCTAGCTAGTAGCCGGATCTGGACCAGGGCCATCACAAAAAACATCTTGAGTGACTCGGTCACAGCATCACAAGACACCAAACCGGACGGTACCGTGAAGTGCTTCCTCGATAGTGCTGACCGTCGGATAGAAACCCTGAGGACATTCTTGAAATCCATCACGTTGCTACATTCAGGTTAATATGATTCTTGCTTGCGTGGCATTGTTGTGATAGCGGTCGACTCCATTATCGACGTCTATCGTACGCTGTAGCTAGCTACATGTCCGCGAGACTTAATCTGGGAACGGAACACGAAAGTCCACATGCCGTCGAAGAATAAGAGCCAAAAGGATGGCTCGAATCGAATCATACAATGAAGTGACGAGGCGCATTGACGACTACGAAAACAACTTGCCATTGCCACACTACTGTACCGGTACGTACCCAACAACACCGAAAAGGCAAGACAAGGCCACAGCAACGGTGTCACAGCTCCGCAGAATAGGGAGCATCCTGTTTCAATGGAACACAAGTAAGTTTATTGATTCATTTTGTTGTATGTTACTCCCTCGTGATTGATTGAACGACGGTGAAGCAAAGCCACCGACTTCGAATTCAATCGTTCTCTACAGTTTGCTCTCCATCTCATCTCTCTCTCTCAAACTCTCTCCATGCATCTCTCTCTCTCTCTCTAAGCCACGACATAGGCCACGTTGCTGGGCAACGATTCTATTTCCAAGACTTCAAAGAACTCGAATCCTTCATCACCGGTCCACTTACGAGCGACGCTTTCTGGGAATCCACAGGTTCCTAATCCAGCCCCACCTTTCTTCGACGTGGAGCAGGCCAGACACAAAAAGCACGAAAATCCATACATACCCGCAGCATCTGGTCGAGCAATGTTCTCTTTCAAGTTGTCCGAGCAAGCAATGTCGACGACCACCATGCATCCATCGGGAGAAAGCCCCTTCTTGGCTTCCTTTAGGAACTTCTTTGGCTCGGTCATGTCGTGAATGACATCATGAACATAAATAAAGTCAAACTTTCCACCACTGGAAGATCCCTCCGCAAGGCTCTTTTCCAAGACGTTGCATACGGTGACATTGGTCAACCCGGCAGCCTCGACACGTTCCTTGATTTTCAAGAGTGCCTTCTGAGAAGCTTCAAAGGCACAGAAATGGCTCTTGGGGAAGCGCTTGGCCATCTGCACAGTGCTGGCGCCAAATCCACAACCAATGTCGGCTACTTGGATGCCCGCCTCGAGCATGTCGACAAGACTCTTTTCCGATTTGGGAGCCTTGACATTCTTCAAGACATCGTCCTCGAGCTTGTTTTCGAACCAGTTCGAGTTCTTTCGGTCAATGGCAGCCGAGATGTCTGACTTTTCGTAATCGTAGTCGACACCCAGTCCTGATTTGATGGACTCCACAGTGGCGCTTCTCCTGTCCAACATGCAGTAGACCATCTCAAAGAGCCCCTGCATCGATCGAGGAGCCTTTTTGGGGTCTCGCAAGAGATGCGCATACTCTGGCTTCAAGCAGAATTTGCCGAAGAAATAGACGCAGATTCCTGCTGCCGTAGCCTGCGACAAGATTTCGGTCAACCAGCGCTCGCTACAGTTCATTTTTTGGGCCAATTCTGCAGCCGTGGAAGGACCGGATTCCCAAAGAGCATCGTAGAGCTGGAGCTCGTCACAGACGCGGATCAGACCACTGGTCAAAGAGTATTCGGCAACCTTCCAGAGGTGCTGTTCGGCCTTCTTGGCAGGGTCTGGCTTCTCTTTCTTGTTCGAACGGGCCACCATGTAGGCACCAGCAGCAAGGCCGACACCAAAGCTCAAAACAACCCCTTTAACGTTGTAGCCACTCATCTTGGATCTTTTGCTTCAAAAATAAGATATATCCTTTAAAAAACGGCAGAGTTCTCCACACAAATCGCAGAGCGGAAGATCAAGTCCTGACACCTAGTCTATCACTTTCACCAACCTTGGAATGGAAGCAGGAAGGATAGCACTACCGGTACTATTAGCTACCTATACTAGCTAGCCAGTTCAGAGATGACTTGAAACGTCTATGTCAACTCTTGTTGTTGTGCTGCTGTAGTCAAAGATCAAAGGAAACAGCTTTCTTCTTCCGTGGCAGCTGCAACGCTGCAACATAAAAGCGGAAGCCCACTTTAGTAAAGCATTCCAAAGGCCTCTAATAAAAAGGCTTGCGCATCAGATTCTGTGTTTGATTGGTTCGCAGTCCCCAGGGTCATCATTCTTCATTTACACCCAGCGGTGTCTGATTCGATTCATGTCTCTGATGACCTCCAGCAATTCAGTGGTCAGCGACACCCACCAGGAGCGTCCCTCAATCGTGGGTGATGGAGAAACCAACCCTAAATCCGACCCTAAATCTTTGAAACCCGTCCCTAATTCTATTGGAGAATAGGGTCGGGTTCGAAACCCGACCCAAAATCAAAATCCGACCCCAAATTAGGGACGGTTTTTCAGAAACCGTCCCTATTTTTAGGGTCGGTTTTGAAACCCGACCCTAAATTTGGGTCGGATTTCAATGTATTTACCACTCAGTCCCGTTTCTATTTAGGGACAGTTTTCAAACCCGACCCTAAATCGAAATCCGACCCTAAATTAGGGACGGTTTTTCAGAAACCGTCCCTATTTTTAGGGTCGGTTTTGAAACCCGACCCTAAAGGGAATCCGTCCCTAAATCCGTCCCTTAATTAGGGTCGTTTCAGATTTAACTTCATACACGATTGAGGAACGCTCCAGTAACCTTTGAGGGTAAGACAGTCCAGGCGTCCATCTCCACACTCCACAGGCAACTTTCAGGGCAATCCAGAACCTGTCTTCACTTGTCTTGCTTGCCGCCTCTGGGTAGCAAAAGGCCACCATCACAAAAGAATCTCGTGGCCTTGATGTACCGGCACTGGTAGCAACTCCTAGCTTGCAGTCGACCCGTCGTCGAAGACCTACTAGTACCCTCTAGCTCTAGAGGTATTGGTGGCACCACGTAACTAAATTTCAGAGGCTGAACAACCCCCTTTGGTTTGCTTGGAAATGGCTGCAATTGCAAGACAGCAGAAAACTGTCAGAGGTACAGTAGTCTGGGTCCCCATTTTCTACTTGACTACCTGTGTGCAGCGATGTGGACGATGGATATCACAAGAAAAGTGTCAAACCTTGCTTCAGCTACAAAACTGGATAAAACAACTTCGTTCATGCACTGTACAACCATGCATTAGTTTTGTTAGCTAGTAAACAAATATGCCAATAGTAGTTAGATGCCGGTAGAGTTGCACTCCCCACATGCATCACATCCACATAGATCGGTGGAAGAGCAGGTAAACTTCACTTTTTCCACATCATAGCAAATCGAAATTATCCCAAAGTAAACATTACAGACATAGGCCATGTCCCACACATTTTCACAAAGGCCATCTGGAATAGAACCAGAAAGAGAGGTGTTGGACAAAGTAAGGTGATCCAGGGCAGCCATACTGGTCAGGCTTTCAGGGATTCTGCCAGTCAGATTGTTCTCATGGAGAAACAGCTCAGTCACATTGTTCAAGAGCCCTAGCTCGGATGGAATGGTCCCCGAAAAAGCATTGCCAGACGCCCACAAGAGCTCCAGGGAAGTCAAAAGGCCCAGCTGCGATGGCAGTGGGCCTTCCAGATTGTTGTCGTTCATCTTGAGATATGTCAGCTGTCCCCAGCTCTCAAAGATCGAGCCTGGCAATGTCCCAGAAAACTTGTTGCCATTGATCCAAACCATGTTCAAATCTGTTTATTTTAGGAAGAAGGAATGTGAGGGCAAGATGGGGTTTATACACACAAGCACAGCCAGGCAGCGATCTTACCTTTAAATAGTCCAAGCTCTGTCGGAATTGTGCCTGTGATCAAATTGTCGTCAATGTCTATTCTCCACTGCTCACGCCAGAGGGCAGTTCTGATTGTTAGCTTGATTGCTGCAAAGACATGAATCAACATGATGATTTTGCTGTTCTGAACTTACCAGGTTTGTTAATTTTGAAAACTCACTTGGAAGAGATCCAGTGATTTGGCAGGTCCACACATTGAACCTTCTCAAGTTAGAGAGCAATCCAATTTCTGTTGGAATTGAACTATTGAATGGCATAGAATGGAAATTGATATAATCCAACTTTGTCATTTGGCCAATCTCTGGGAGAAGTTTTCCACTGGTAATTCCTGACAGACCCTCTGCTCTTAACGTGACCATGTTGGTCAACCTGTATAGCTCAGTAGGAAGGGTTCCTGACATGCCTGGACAGTATCGCAAACTTAGATGGTCCATGACGTCCAAGTTGCCAATTTCACTCGGTATTGTACCCGTGAATGGATTTCGGCCCAGCTCTAGGTGCAAAAGATTGGAGAGCTGTCCAATCTCCGTTGGGATTTGGCCTGAATGATGATTTCGGTCTGAAGAGAAAGTACGTAGGTTGGTCAGCAGACCAATCTCAGATGGAATCAAGTCATAGAGATTTTCGTTTGACCCAGCTTCCAGGTACTGTAAGGAGTCACTCAACAAAGAGAGCTCTGGTGGGAGAGTTCCAACCATGTTGTTTTCTGTGAAAACCAAGTGCATGTACTGTCCGTCCGCATTGCAGACAGAATCTTGAAACTGACTTTCCGATCCCACTTCAGTGAGTAGCCCTTCATGGAAGAAAAAGTTCGTTGCACCACCCAAAAGATTCCTGAAGTACCAGGAACACTCATCCACGTTATAGCTGAGCCAATCCTCCTGGAGATTCCAGGCTTCCCCTCCTGTGCTGTAGTAGAACACAACCAAAGCAAAACGCTGCAGTATTTTCCATTGGGGATAGGATGTCCTGTTGGGGTCAGTCAAAACCCAATCATAAGCTCTGGCTTGAGCAGAATTGGGATCGTCAAGTGCAGAAAGTGTGCTTCCTGGAAGCAAATCCCATGTATCAGCAAGAATTGTAGGGGCAGAAGTCGGGGGAGAAGTTGGGGATTCCGTCTTCATGGATTCGGTCCCAATAGTCGTGGACTCTTCCAAACCCTTGTTCTTTTCTGGGACTAGAACAATAACAAGGATCATAATGACGACAAATTGGAGGACCACCGCAAGAATCAAAAACGGATTGGTTTGATTGGTCCTTTGCGCGTTGTTTCTTTCAGCTTGTTGTTCTGCATCGACACCATGGGCCTGTGGCAGGAGATGATGGGGAATGGCTTCTTCGACTGGGCTGGCCACAGCTAACCCATTATCATTTTCCGTAACAGGAGCAGTTTCATGATTTGCTTGCATGGAGGTAACAACTGAGCGGGCGAGGGTGTCAGCTCGCTGGAGTTCCATACCAGGTGCAGAAGCATAGGCTCCTGGAATCGTGAGAACAGAATGCCGCTGTGGAGCTGATGTTATTGCTGGCATGGGTATAACACCGCCTGTGCGATCAAAATCATCTGGGGACGCTGCCACATTTATGGTCTCGCTTGAAGGAGAGTCTGTTTGTGTAGGCCCCTCAGTCGTCGTCTTGGTTTCGTCTAGACTGTTAACCTCAGTTTTCCCCTCGTTTTCGACCACAGCTGTTTCCCCAGTTCTCGCTGTACTATTAGTAGCCGTGTTTTTGTCGCCATCACCATCACCAACCATGATATCCTTCCCGTCATAAGCAGTGGCACCATCGCCGCTATCCTTCCTGTCCTCGGCAACAGCTGCATCCATTCTTTAGCCAAACGTTGTTAAGGGTCGACTCTGGATAGGAGGAATGTACAACTCTTGTTTCTTCTAGCTAGAGCTGTGACTCTGGCACCGGGTAAAATAGATTGAAGAGCCAATCAATCCAGAGACAAAGACGTAGCACAGTCAATGATTCCTTTCTTCTTTGACACGCTCCCAGGCTGCTCTCATGCATATATTGTTGCTTTGCATTTCCTGCGGAACTTGAAAAGTGAACCCCAACTTGAAGAGGAAATTTTGCCTCTAGTTAGTTTGCACAGCTCTGCTGCTTTTAGAAAAGATATGTGACCATGGCGTTGGCCATCGAGCACTTCTAACCGATAGTAGAATCGAAGCAATCAGCCATTGAGACACCCATGTCGTTTGCCTCCTTTCATCAAGGGTTCACAGGGATCAAAGGGTTGGGTGGTAATTGGGACACGGCACTGGTAGGCAAGGGATATCTTCCTGGGGCGTCGTACAGAACGAGAAAGGAGAATAAGAATGGAGGCCGAGAAGGAGCTGAAAGACGAGGGAGAGCTTGCCGAGAGTGGACACGGCAGTGTGAGTCCACCAAAGTGTCTTAGTGCAGCAGAAATCAAAGCACCCTGCAGCCCACACAGCACCAAGGAGATGAAAGGTTCCAGAACAGCTTCTTCTTCTGCGGCCATGACGCCCCCGACGACTGCGAAGGCCCCGCGTAACGGCCCTGCGGGCGGTCCACAGGAACACCAGCAATCAAATAGAAGTGACAGCAAAGAACCTTCTCCTGTGGCTTCGCCATCATCCATTTCCATATCCTCCAAGACTACCATACGAACAGGCCCTGCTGCAGCACAATCTGTCTCCTCGGTTACGGCTGCTCTGGGTACTAGTAGTATACATAGTATTGGGCCAGATCCTTTCTTGCCACCAGTTTCATCCTTGGATAGTGTCAATACCATGGATGCTTCGGGTGGAGTGAACATCAGCAGCCCCTCCTTGAGTGGGACCTTCCGAACTGCTGGATCGAGCAGAGCTGGCAGCATGGCATCTCCGAAATTGTCGCCAACAGTGGGAGCCCCTTCTCGAAAGAACCTGGAATATTCTCAGAATCTTCCACCACCACCACCACAACAACAATCCACGACGCAACAGTTCTCTTGCAAGCTAGAGCATCCGCCCCTACCACTACCCCGAAAGGCACGCAGGTGTCCCCTATTCTGCTGCTTTTACGCAGAGTTCGACAATGTGGTGGGACCCAAGGTTTGTTATGAGAGTCCACTGGGTTTCATGGAACAAAACAGTGATGTGTCACTCAAGGACATTCACAAACTATTGGCATCGAACTTTGACCGGATTCTTTCCGAGCAAAATGGACCCATTGTCAGGGGCAAGAAAGAAAAGGAAACAAAACCGACCCAAAAAGCAGGAGAGGCTGTGTCTGGTACACCTGAACCTGCTTCTTGGTCGTCTTCCTCCAAGGGCGCGTCGGATAGCACCGCGACTCCCGCGCAGTCTCCCTCCAATTCCTATTCTCAGCTTACAATCAAAGGCGCCAAGTCGGTCGATAGTACAGTTACAATGGCAGTCGCAAACACTACTGCTGCAGCAGCGACCCCTGGTATACACCGCAGGCAGCAGTCGGCCACAGCTTCGGCTGACGCTGCAACACTACATGCAAGCAATGCAAATATTGCGAAGGATTCTTCGGCGGGTCCCAACAAACAAGAGGGAGGGTCGACCAGTATCTTTGAATCCACCTGTGATTTCATCATTACAGGAAACGAGCTGACGGGCAACATTGTCAACTTGTCTGCCTTCAACATGCATCTCCTCACCCGACCCTCCATTATACACAACAAACGCTACGAACGGAACTCTCTCTTGTTCTGTGTTGGATTCATTCTAAGGCGGACCGAAGATCCTCGACCCTTTCGGCCCTTGTTGTCCAAATTAGCTTTGACACTGAAGCGAATGGAAATGGAATCGAGCTTTCTCTCCAAACAGAGTACCAGAAAAGAAATTCAACCGCTGCTGGACAGAATCCTAGTCTCTCTGAATTGCACAAAAATTGAAACCAATCTGGTGGTCAACAACACCGTGTTGAACCTCAAACTCTTCCACCCTCCCAAGTACCCAGCATCACCAGTCAAAGATCATTCGGTACCCATTTTGTTGAGGAGAGACTGGCAAGTGCAAATGTACGACTGGGATCTTGCCATCAACTGGGTCGTTCTACACATTGATGGCGTCGCCAATGCTCGTCAAATTTCCAAAAAGGCCGAAGTTGACATGAGCATGGTGAGAAACTGTCTGAGGGTGCTCAAACATCACGGTGTGATTTCCGTCGTGGACATGTTCTTCTATTCCAATCGGTATGAGTCTACAAAGCGAGCGGCGTCAATGCTGGCTGGCCACGAACCGTCACTGTTGCAAGATGCTGCAGAGTACGTCCTCAAGCGACCAGCCCAGGCCACTACTCCACTGAATGCCATGACTCCCTACAACAGTTTGGTGGCTCCAATGTCCCCGCCACCAAGCGCATCTCCTACATTGCAAGAAAGATTCGTCCACCCACATGTCAGCAGCCCAGGAAGCCCAATCCTGCCATCGTCGTTCCCACACGAACATGGCGACAGTGCTGCGGCTGTGTCATCCAGCCTACTCGGATCCAGTCTCAAATATGCAACGTTTGCAGCATCCTACCAGTCCCATGACCCACAGGTTTTTGGAACCCTTCGAAAAGAGGAGCAACGGGAGCTCAAGACAGCTCTGGCGGAGTTGTACTGTGCGTGCAACCGCGATATGAGCTTTGGAGATTTGTGGGTGGCGTTTGCAGCCGGAAGGGCTCGTTCGCACAGCTTTGATCGCTCGGTGGAGCGAAACAGATCCAATAGTGACAGTCGTGATGCATCGAGGCATTCTTATCAGCAACAGAGCAATCACAACACGAACAGCACATATCAAGGCCACTCCTTGACGAGAGGTGATAGCATTGAGATATCCGGCTCGGAAGGGACAGGAGAGCATCATGGGGAGGCAACGGATTTGCCGTTCAGAGATTATTATTTCGATCGGCTGAGGAAGAAAACTGCTTGTGCCGCCGTTGATTGGCGAGCAGTCTTCGACATGATTGACCACAGACGATTCATTTCGTTTGGTTTGGTCAATGGACTGTTGAATCGTGTTCACAATTACCCGTTTGTCCTCGACACCAACACAAGTCATAGCAAGAAAGACTTTGCTTTTGACAGCCGTCATTCTTCCATGGATGAAAGCAGCTTTTTGGCTCGCAACGTTGCCAAGATGATGGATGGATTGCACTGCGACGATGGCATTGCTTCAATGTTCCAAAAGCCCATCAACGTGCTGATCGAAATGGTTGAGAAGCTGGAAGGGAGGAAGGTGCTGTCGACGTACTCGGTAGATGAGTAGTGTTGAATCTAGGTTTTGTATTATTCTATGGAGCAAATAGTGTAATCTAGGTACCGGTAATACAAGTTGTTCGCCTTTGTACAATCATTTCTTCTTCTTGTCTATGAACCCATCTCGATGATATCGTCAGCATCAGCATAGAGCTCTCTTAGCTTATCAAGTGTTTCCTCGTCGGTGGACCACATTCCTCGTCCAGCTGCCTCGAGGAACCTTCTGACAACTGAATGAGCTTGTAGTTAGCAACCGGCTTGCAACTGCAAGTACGAATGACAACACGGGTACCATCGAGCTTACCATTTTTGAAGGCCTCAGGGTTACTTTTCTGGAGTTGCTTGGCCACGGCTTCATCCAGGGCGTATCTCTCGGCCGCTTGGTCGAACACAAAATTATCAACTTCGGCTGTTGCTGCCCAGCCAACCATTGCTGTCATTCTTTGCGAGATCTCGTATGCCCCGCCCGACCCTTGCTGAAGCATGGCGTCTCTCCACTTGGGATTGAGCATTTTGCTCCTATACTCGACTCTCAGAACATCCTCGAGCTCTTGTACCGGAATATCCTCGTCTGCGGACCCGCTGAAAGCCTCTACAATGGAAACGGACACTTTCTTCTTTCTCCCTGTTGTCGGGTCAGCTGCCTTTCTGTTTTCGGCAGCTTTCTTGAGTGCTCCAGTATTGGCCTGTGATCGCGCCGAAGATCCGAGCAGTTAGTTGGACATTCGATGTGGTTTCTTTATTACGCCGGTATCACTCACATAATACTCCTGTATGTCTGACAAGCCGTACTCGACTGAGTCAATCTCCTGCACGACTCTTTCGGTAGTCTCCAGTAGTTTGTCCAAAACTTCGGGGCGAGCTGTTCCAGCTGTACCCACCCCAGTTCCTTCACCACGACCATACGCGAAGACGTTTCTACCTTTCCAAGTTTCTCCGAGTGCCTCGCTTTCAGACCAGTCACCTGTGCCAACAACCTCGTTGACCATGGAGCCGTAATCTCCTGGTGGGTTGCTAAAAAGCCGAGCTGCAGGTCTCTCAACGCCATCGTCGCGCAGACTCTCTGCGTGCTTCTTGACAAAGTTCATTTCATTTGGTTCATCCGCTGCTGCTGCCCTTTCAAACATGTCGTCCAACAGATCGACCACATTGGCAAACGAATCTCGGAAGATGCCACTAAGCGAGGCCAAGACGTCCACTCGAGGTCTCCCAAGCTCTTCAAGAGGTACAAGATCGAACCTCACAATACGGCCGGTACCTTCCTTAACTGGTTTGGCGCCCACTAAAGCAAGAACGATCGCCACCGATTCTCCCCTGGTTTTGATGGCGTCGAGGCCCCAAAGTGTCACAGCGACAGTTTCTGGATAATGCCCATCGTTCATAGCTTGATGTTGTCTCAAAGTCTCCGCAGCGATCCGCTGCCCTCGAGCCCACGCTGTTGCTGAGGGCATCCTGTAAGGATCCAGGGCGTAGATGTTCTTGCCAGTCGGAAGCACGGATGTTCCGTCCCTGAGCAAGTCGCCTCCAGGTTTCGCAGGGACGTAGCCTCCATCAAGGGCGTTGACAATTGAATCCATTTCTTCTGTAGATGCGCTCAACAAGCGGACAATATCTGTGGCGTCCTTTGTCATGTCGTCAGAGTGCTCGCCATCCTTTGCCGACGCATCGTCGGCTGTTCCGAATAATCCTTCCAAGAAACTTGAAAATCCATCCAGGAAAGCTGAGCTAGTACCTTCGGTCTTGGTTTCATGCCACTCGGCAATAACCGTATCGCAATCCTCCTCAGACAGCTCGTCACCATAGTATGCATTCAAGTAACTCTTCAGTTCTTCATCTGACGGCGATGCTCCAAGAACATGCAGACCGCTTGAAAACAGTCTCTCTTGAAGCACGAAGAGATAGTCGGAAAGACTGGTAACCCACTTGTTGAATGCACTGACGTCGTAGGTGTCTGGCAACTCAGTTCCCTCAAACGCTTCTTCGCTTGTAGGATCGAGCGCTAGTGGCGGCACATCACTTCCAAGACCGGCCTTTTGCGCAGTGCTAAAGATAGCTGCTCGCACGTCAGCAGCTGCAGCATCACTTTTGTCACGATCGCCTCCTGACCTATATTCATCCACGAGCTCCTTCAGATTCGCCAAATCCAAATAAAGACCCGCTCTTCCATATGGAGGCACGTTGTATGAAACCAGCGTGCCGTAGCCTCGTCGTTTGGCAAGAATACTCTCGGATGGATTGTTGGCTGCGTATGCATATATGTTGGGGAGCTCTCCCAGCAGTTCATCAGACCACGACTGCCGATCATTGCCCAATTGTTGACCAGGTAGCCACTCGACTAAGCAAAGCGATGTGAGCGGCATGCCATCATGTTGGCGTAGCCTTATGCCAGTGACACACTATTTCTTTGACTTACCTGTGCCGTGCATGCCAAGATGGATGACTGCCTGGCTTCCAAAACCGCGGTTTGATTCTGGTTGTCGCATCCATTCGTAGGCAGCGCAATACTGTGGGTGTGGAGTGAGGTCACGCTCAAACAAGAGCCTCATTGGGTCGCCCTCAACACCAAGCAATGGCTGTACAGTGATCCAGACGTTGCCAACCTGGAGGCCTGACACTACCATCTTCCCATTGGCAGAGACTCCCGGTCCTCGTTCTTTTTCGGGCCATGCACGCCGAACTTTTCGGGTCATGTATTTTCCCAACACTTTCTCCAAATCATCCCATGTCACGTCAAGTGCCTTGACTGTGGCTCCTCCAAGACCACCTCCTGGTCTCGCCAGCGTTGCTGCTACTGTCTCATCGCCAGCGGTCGCTCGCGTGATCTTAGCGTCGACCGCATCTTGCATCCTCTCGGCTCCTCCCGTAATGACTGGATTTTCGCAGAGAATGCTAAGAGCGGCCACCAAGCTTTCTCCTGAAGCGTCAGGGTCAGACGGAAAGCTCCCGACATCATACCCTTCCTCGTCGAGTCGCTTTAGCAGGTTCTCCAGAGATTGCGGGACATCTAGCAATGCAGCTGTGCCGACTGCGCCAACATTGGGTGGGAATCCGTACAGGGAAATGGCAATCTTGCGCTCTGATTTGGGTGTGTTGTGCAGAGAGGTCCACGCCTTGACTCTGCTGGTCAGCTTTCGCACTCGTTCTGGCACGAGAGCAATTTTGTCACCCACCAGACCGCCTAGAACAACAGTATCAATAGCGCCATCCAATTCCGGCAGCGAATAGAGAACAACCGACTGAAGACCCAAGACACCGTTGGTCCTCCACTGTGGGATGCTTTGCAGCAGCAGTGGCGAGGCCACCATGTATGGGACATTCATGCTGCGCAGTAGCACCTCTGCAACTTCAATGTTTCGACCCGCTTCGGCAGATCCAGCAGGGCCACCGACCAGTGGAAAGCCAACGGTGTTGACAATGATGTCAATCCTTGCTGCCTTGTACGGCTGGTAGGTATCATCGCGGACAATCTCCCCCCTCGTAACACCTTGAATTTCGTGTTCACTGGTCAACAGATCTCTCACAATCGTGTGTGCTTCCACGCCATTGATAAAGATGGGCACTGGTATCAATCCCTGTTCTTCCATGATTTGAATGAGATCCAGAATATATCGTTGCTCCGTAATGACATGCTTTCGATACAAGAGCACTGCGACACGGGGTGCATCCGACGGCGCGAGTTGAAAGTTGTACTTTTGTGCCAAGTCGATGGTTGTCGTTTTGGATGTCCGCCACTCCATGTAGGCCGCCGGTGACTCAAAAAAGCGTTGTTGTTGATTGTTGCTGCTATGTTGTATCTCTTTGTCGCGTAACGTATGAAGGAGTCCAATATCGGGTGTGACCTCCAATTCGGGCAACACCAACTCGACACTGTCGTTTGCTTGACGTGTGCTGCTGTCACAGCGATGGGCAATGATCCGAAGCATGGCTCCTACATTATTTTTGCCACCTTGATTCCAGAATCGATAGGATTCCAGCCACGTTCGTAGATCGGACGCCTTTTCTCCCGGTACAAACTTGAGCAAGTCCGGCCCGAATTTGAGTAGTTTCAAGTATCCATTGATGCGATCTTCTTCCTTGCCACTTCCAAATTTGGAGAGAATGGCCTTGACAGCGGGTGGTGGACCCGCCGGCCCATCGCCCGTGGTGGCCATGTTGAAGGATCCCACCTGATTAAATGTCATGATTTCCGTGGCACATTCAAACAAGAGCCGCGGACCTTTGACATACGGCAGTAAACTCTCGACGACGAGTACATCATCGTAATCGAAAATCAAGCTACCCACAAAGGCATCCGCGTTTTTGACGGCCTCTTCAAAGACAGGATTGACGCCCAAATCTTGGTCATTGACATTGGTGACGCTGCTTCGAATATCCGAGTCAGCAAAGACGGAGAGTTCGACATTAAAGTCGGCTGCCATGTCCTTGGCGGCTTGGTAGTAGAGATCGCGATTGAAGGATTCAAAACCAGCCACTAGCACAATCTTGATCTTGTCGTCGTTGTCTTGTTTGGAATTGGGTGCAACCAGGGTATCTTCTCTTTCAATAGTGGCATGTTGTATGGTGGTGGTGGATAGGGTTCTTCTTTGGATGATTGGAGAACCCAATGCGGAAGAAGGCACATTCTTGTGTACCGGTATGGTGGGATTGGTAGGTGATGGGACCAAAAATGCTGAAGCTTGCAGCAATGCAGCGAAGGCCACAGTCCAGAACACAAGGATGGGCGCCATCATGGATATATCCTTCATGTTAACTAATAGAATCAAACAGTACTGCCTATTATCATTTAGCTAGCCAGCTTTGTATTCTCAAGCCGCTTCTTTGTTTCTCGTTTGCTTTTCTTCAGTTGTCTTTTGTGCTGGGATTATTGTTGTCCATCACGAGAGAATGGATCTTTGACTGAGTCACTCAGAGTTCGCGAATTCAGTCCAGTCACTGAGTCAAAAGATCCATAAATAAGCTGGTTGAGCTGAGCTTTGTTGGATGGCATAGATTGAAGATTCCATAGAATACAGATTCCAGATTCCTCCTTGAAGATCTAACTTCGCGATCCTTGACCGAACGCTTACGTGTGATGGCAAAGCGACAATGCTTTGGTGGGCTATCCAACAGCTGCAACACGACGTTTCTTCGTTGTGGGGTCTGTGAGGAGTGCCGATTGTCGTCTCGTTGCTACATTCCCAGTTCCAAGCCGGAAAATACCCTTCACGATGCGTGCCGCTATCCTTTCTCTCCTTCTTGCTGGCGCCGCTGCCTTTGCCCCTGCTCAGCAGGTAGGTTTCCTTCTGTAGTCCTTTTGTGATGAGACAATGAGTTTCATTATCAGTTGCATATAGTGACAATGTCGTCTCACGTTTCGTCTTTCTTACCAACTATTCATTTCAGGGTGCCCGCACTTCGGTTGCTTTGAATGCGGAGGAATTCTCAAAGTCCATCCCTTTCTTGGTCCGACCTGAGAAACTCGATGGATCCATGGCAGGAGATATGGGATTTGACCCCATGCGTCTGTAAGTCATGATACTACATGTTTAGAATTGTTCCCTCCATCTTGCAAGTAGCTCACGCCCTTGACTTTATTTGTTTTTTTCCTATTCTATACTATCAGGTCTGATATTCAGACTGACTTGACCTATGCTCGTTGGGCTGAATTGAAGCACGGACGCATGTGCATGCTTGCCATTTGCGGTATCGTCACCACTCAACTTGGAATCCACTTGCCAGGAGAACAGTTCGCAACCACCGACATCTTCGCAGCTCCCGCTAGCGTCGGATTCGCTGGAAACCTTCAAGTCTTCCTTGGAATTGGAACCATCGAACTTATGAACTTCTACAAACACTACGATGGCAGTGAACCAGGTGAATTACCCGGATGGGAACCCCGTGGATGGGACTCCGTGCCCGAGTCCACCAAGGCCGTCCGCAAAGAACAAGAAATTGTACACTGCCGTCTCGCCATGATTGCTTTCACCGGCGCCATTGTTCAGAGTCTTTTGTTCAATGAGCCTCTTTTGGGTTAAACATTTCATTATTCTTTTCAGTAATGAATATGACATTCTCCACGCCCATCCTGTAGCGCTACCTGCTGGCTAGGTTTCATAAACGCGTTTACTAGATAGAACGCATTTTGAGCCATGTGCATACGTTTTGTAGACTTTCAGAGGTTCATGTAGGATGGTTTTCCTAAAGTGCAATGGATATGTAAGATGCTGCTTTCTCACAAGAACCTCGTTGGTGGGTTGGTCTCGGCGTCTAGCACCAGGGCTGGTGACTTCTCCTGGGTTGAGCCTTGCTTGAGTATGTAGCAAGTCCATCCTGTGAACCCGTTTTACACACGCTTCGTTCTTTTTTAACCACATTCTGCTCGACTTCCACCGTATCTTCAATGACAACTGGAGCCATTGCTGGTACCGCTACGAGCTGGGCAAGAGCAGACCGCACCTGCTGTTGAAGCTTGCCCAGGCCCTGTCCTCCCCTACTGGCTGTTACAAGGAACCTCCACCATGGTCAACTTTTGAAAGCCCTCCATGTATGTGTGGTTGACGATGAGAGTTACGATATGACTTGGCAGCCAACTGCAAAGGTATGGTCAAATTGATGCGCTGAAATACGCTCATGAGAGTGGCTGTCCATGGGATGAGTTTACATGCTATTGGGCAGCAGCTAGATGCAACCGCCATTTGGAACATGAAATCAACCGTACCGGCGCATGCAAATGCATGTCCATGGCATGAAGAGACAAGCAAAGAAACGGTTGAAGGACAAACACACGTGTACCAATGCAGGTGAGAATGGTCATATGGCTGGACTCCATTGTAGGAACACCAAAGCTTGCCTTGGTAGAAGAATGGATGGTGCCCCTATTGCTTGTGGCATGTAGTTGTTACGGGAGCATGTATCTACAAAGCTGTTAACTAGCCCACTCCCTGGTTCTGCCCTTTGGATTGTGTGTTGTCCCTCAGGCATTGCAGGGAGTGCAGGGCACAGCCTTATTCGCCGGGTTCCAAATCTCATCGGCGGTTCAATGGCTGGAACGACGGACAACCGCTACACAGGATGGCGGACAATGTCATGGGCATCAGCTGAAAACATTTAAGCGGTTATACAGTTAGCCAGAGGCGACATGATAAAACCAAAAGAATCAACCCCCGGATTCAACGCCAGAAACCCCAGCAACCACCATCTGAATTCCTCTTTCATTAAGACTCTTGGCACGCAAACATGACCAAGGCTTCCCCCGCATCAAACTTTTGGATTTGTGATTCTGTGGTCAACTTTCGTACAACATGAGTGGGTACTTGTTGGTGCTTTGGTTGGTCGCCTTGATCCGCCGAGTTGTTGGAGACGATGGAATGTTGGGATTCTTGCTGCTGGTGCTGGGCACCCCCCAGCATCCCTTGTTCGTCCATGACCGTCTCATCATCGTCATCACTCAAATTATGGGCCGCCCGTTTGTCCTCGTTCTGTTGCGGCTGTTGTTGGATGCTCCGGTCATGCATTTCGGGAGTTTGTTCCTTTCCGTCTTCCTGCATGGGTTCTGCATAGTCAAACACTCCAACTTTGGAGGAACGTTGATGTTGCTGCTCCTGCTGGTTCGTTGCTGTAGCCACTTCCACATTATTCATGCTGGTGATTGCCAACTCGGGCAGCTTCCAGAGTTGCGCACAAACCGTTGCCATGGATGTATCATAGGACTCAATGCCGATGGGCTTCTCTTTCGTTTCACCCGTATGATTTTCTTCTTGCTCTTCTTCCGACAGCACGTTGCGGACCAAAACCCCAATGCGCTGACAGATTTCCTCTTGCAATTCCGCCAAGCGTCGTTTCTCCCGTGCCAACAGAGCTCCTTTGGGGATGGCAGTATCATTTTGTGTTGGTTGTTGTGAATTAAAGTAGTCTTCTTCGTTGGCTCCTAGTGCATCCAGCAGATTTTCAGAGAGCGTCCAATTGTGTTCGGCAAATTGCTGCAAGGCTTGACTGCCTAGTTGTAATTGTGTCAAGACCGTGTGCATTTCCTCGTCCAACAACTGGAGTGTCCTGGTTGTTTGGTATTGTCCCTCTACCTCTAACAGTGGGACGAGAGGGCGCAAGTACGGATGGCTCTTGTTGCTTTGGGTACACGATGTAGCTTTTGGATGAGATGATGACGTGAGCAATTTGAGCTGGAATTGACGACTCCATGCTCGATGTTTGAGACTGTCCGTGCTGGCTTGAAAGAGGACATCCCATTCCTGACTCCAAGAGAGGATCTGTAACATACAACGGGCTTCGGCTCGCGTCAACAAGGGTTTGCCGTTGGGATGATCCGCACGAGAGGGAACAGCGTTGTCTGTGGGAATCTGACGAAAGATAATCTCCAAGGGAACCGCCAGTAGGTACTCCAAGCTGGTGCTGTCCAAAGATGACTGGTTGCCTTTTAGTATGCCATGCGGGTAATGATTGCCTTTGTTGTCCTCCTCCACGGCCTTGTTATCTCTTGTGGATTCATCCTGTGGCAAGTCACTTTGGCTGCTGCTGCCATTGTTGCGCGCCTTGCGTTTACGAGAATTGGACTGGCTCATGGTCGTCGGGTTGGGTTCTGTTCTTGTCGGCTGGGTGGAAAATGAGGGGAGATCGAATTCCACGTGTTGGCTGGAAAAAGTGGGGTTTCCTAAGAGTTGATGCCGACCACATCCGGAGTTGGGGTAACTAGAATGACTACACGTAGTAATAATAGCTTTGAAAGCTTTTCTAAATACCCCGCTATCCTTGATACAAGAGGTCGGCAGCGTTTTTTCGTGCCAACGGCTTTTGACGCTTTATTGTGGCTTCACTTGACTTGGATATCGCCATGAAGCTGCTCCAATGCAGACGATGGTGCTCTTCTGTGAGTACCGGTAACTTAGCCTTCCTCCTTAGCTTGACCTTTATCCCCCAAAGAACGGCTGGGTTCGTCATAATCAACAATAATGATGGCCGGATACCTAGCCGCATCCTCCGTGCCACCGATTCTGATGAGTCGAACAAGCCATCATCCTTTGAGATTGGTCTCTACGTACACATTCCCTATTGCCGAAGACGATGCCGATATTGCAATTTTGCCATTGTCCCCATTGGAACACAGGTTGACACGGAATCGCCACCATCAAGACGATCAGATGATGAACTCGTGGATGTGGCTACCCAAGGATTCCTGCAAATGGATAGGGCTTACCGAAAATCCCTTTTGCAAGAGATTGAATGGCTCAGGAGCACCACAGACGCAAGCGATAGTCCCATTATATTGAAATCCATTTATTTTGGAGGAGGTACTCCTTCTTTGGCACCCATTGAAACGATACATGCAATTTGGGAGGCACTATTTACTACTACATGTACTACTTCCAGTAGTACAACCGACAATACGCCACTCTTCCAGTTGACGCCCACTGCCGAAGTATCCATCGAAATGGACCCCGGCACCTTTTCCATTGAAAAGCTGTATGCCCTCAAAGATATTGGCTTCAACCGGATTTCTCTCGGAGTGCAGTCCTTTGACGACCGAGTTCTGGAAGCCATTGGACGCGTCCACCGACGGCAAGATGTGCTCGAGGCCATCGCCATGATTCACACTGTCTTTTGTAAGGACGATAATGGTACACCACCAAACTACTCCATTGATCTCATTTCGGGACTTCCTGGATTGGATCTGGCACTCTGGGCCGAGACGCTGGCAACGGCAACATCGCTGCAACCATCACCACCCAATCATATCAGCTTGTATGATTTGCAAATTGAACAAGGGACGGTGTTTGGAAAATGGTACAATCACCACAGCAGCGACGATAATAATAATGACGACTCGGTCAGTATCCAGCATGCGAGTCAACGAACCAGAGCCACGTCGTCCATCCTCCCTACAAAGAATGATCGTTCCATGCTGCCGTCCGAGGAAGATTCGGCATTCATGTACAAGTACGCTGCTGGATATCTAAAGGCCAAAGGATTTGAGCATTACGAAGTGAGTTCCTATGCCCGCCACAATAATAATAATAAGATGCATCGCAGTCAGCACAATCAAATCTACTGGGCCACCGATGGGCAATGGTTCGCTCTGGGGCTGGGAGCTACCAGCTTTGTCCGTGGACAAATGGTGGCTCGTCCAAGGACCATGGTGGATTACCAAACGTGGGCAGGGGAACTACAACAACAACAAGGAGGAGGAGAGCGGCAAGGCACGGTGGATTCGAAAGACTTCTTGACCGATGTCATTATGAAACGATTGAGGACGTCGGACGGTTTGGACCTCGATTGGATTGAACGTCATCATGGGAAAGAGTGTCTGGACTCCGTGATGAAAGGTGCCGCCCTTGGATTGGATTTGGGGTTGATGACACTAGTGGAGGTGGAAGATGATGATAAAGACAGCGGGGAGGGATCCAAGAAGAATGTCCTGAGGTTGGTGGACCCTGAAGGGTTCCTGTATTCGAACAACCTGATATCCAGTATCTTTGTAGAGCTGGATGAGATCCACGAGGATGGCGGAGACTGAAGCTCCAAGATCAACACGACGACACAGAACGTTCCTGCAGTCTTTAGCACCTGTCTGCCCAATTCCTGCGGATACTGTTGTCTTGTCCAGGAAGCATCATGTCTGCTGCGTGTGGATTCAGCAAGGAGCAACACTCAGTCCTGTATTGACACTGACGATGGCCGCATCCGCATCCTCGTCTGCCAACAAAACTGAGTATCGTTGGAGGCCGGGCCGGGCCCTGAGATAGTCAAAAGTGCTAAAATAGCCTGTCTTTGGGGATGTAATGGTCAGATTGTCGAGCTTTTAGCATTCCTTCGCCACTATTCGGGCTCCTCATAAATTGTACTGTAGGTCCATTCCAATTCATAACGGACTTCTAAGTCCTCGCACATACTATCCAATGCTCATACGATTTTAGCAAAAAGTGACTGAAGTAAGTTTACTCACAAACCGAATCGCTAAAACACAGGCTTTACTCTGTGATAACTTTCGGTTGTTTGACTTTTTCACCCCCCTTGGGAATCATCAGTGCTTGGGCTATTGTGGTACTTATGAAATCGAGGTTTATTCGGCATGCTCCGTATATTTCGTTGCAGGAGTTGATTAGCTTTTCTGGCGATTCTCTGGATCGTTTCAGTATCTCGAGTCGTTCCCTGTTGCATAGGCTGCAGTGTCGTGTCCCGAAGGTCTTGACAGTGCTGATGGGGTTGCCTTGCCATAGGATGCTAATTTCGATGCTGTTCCAATGCTCGCTGAGTTGCCACTTCTGGGGTAGGGACTGCATAGAACTGATCCATCCGCCCTGCAAATGTGAGCCCAACTTGGATCGGAGATTTTTGGGCAGCGACCGCTTCAACAACGACACCAAAAGATTGGCCATCATAGGTGGGTGATAAGTGAATACCTAGTCGACCCGCAGGGTTCCTGCGGTTGGCGCTGGGAACAAGCAATAGGCGGCAGCTTTATCATAGTTATGTGAGTCCGTCACGGACACTATTATTGTCTTTTACCATATAGTTTAGATCTGTACGGTAGAGTGCACCGAATAACCCACAAAGACACTTATTTCTCTAGCTAGATCTGCAGCTTTCTGTGCGTCCGATGGCTTGGAACCTCAACCTGCAACTTGAGTAACCTCACTACTAGCAGTAAATGGAACGTACACTCTTCATTGATTGATTGATTCATCGAAACACGTCGCAGCTTTGAAGCCCTGTAGTTAGTCTGAACAGCCCGTCAGGAAGACATCACATCCATACAAAATCTCATCTCTTGCCACCTCCTCTCTTCTTGCTCCTTTGTTGTTGATAGATTTCTTCCGCTTCCTTTCGTGTTGGTACTTCATTACTCAAGGACCACGATGCCCAGAACCACAGCACATTAATACCAGCTCCCAAGATTGAATACTCTTGAATTCCCATATCTCCAAAGAGAGCCGTGATTCCCGAAAGTCCCAATGACATGAGTGACTTTCCAAATCGATATCCAAAGACACCAATGACTTCCTTGCCCACAAAGCGACTTTCAAAATCCAAGGGTACATAGACCATTTCATCCAGCATTCTTCGTGCAGAATATTCCAATACTTTCATGACCAACAGAGTGGCACTGACAATGTACAGTGTTGGGTCTGGTTGACTGGCTTGGAAGCTTGTGAACATCATGGCAATAAAGGGGACGATACGCCACATAATTCTGGGTTCGACAATGGAGAGCAAGGGTGGCAAAATACCAAACTGAAGAACCATAGAAATGACATTGATTGTGGAAAAGAATTTGCCCACCCATCCAGCCCGTTCGGCATCATTTGGGATGGATCGGGCCAATCGAGCGACAAAGGCAACATTGAGAATAGTAGCCAAACCTTGGGATGCCAAAATCTCAATGAATAACTTGAGCAAGACAGGCACCCTTGCAAAGAGCTTGGCGGCCTTTTCAAACATGCCCATTTGTTGCTCTTGCTGTTTGTTGTTACTGCCGTGTTTCTTGGCGACTGGACTGAATCCATGTTCTTCGGAAATGGCATAGGCCATGTTGGCGGCAAAGATGCTGACAAGCAGTGTCACTCCGGTTCCCAGCAGAGAAAAGGATATTCCAATCGAGTCAATGATATCAGACACAGCAAATCCAGCAATTGCTGAAGTGATACTGGTCAACCCAGCAATGGGTCCAAACCATTTGGCACTCTGGGTGGGTGTCAGTGCCGATGCCATGAAAGACCAATATTGGGTGGTGAGCAATTGGACATAGGATTCTCGAAAGACAAAGAGTGGTCCCGACACAAACTTGGCAGCAGGAACTTTCATGATGAGTGTCCCGTAGGCTTCAAACAAATTAATGGCAATAGCCGAGGCACTAACGACAGTAGCACAAAAGATAGTGGATCGGATGAGAGCCCCTCGTGGACCATGTTGATCCAGAACTCTGCCATATCCTAGCAGCAATCCCAGGGACATGGGGCTGACAAAGGCCATGGCAAATGGAAAAGCAGCAGCATATTTTCCATAACCAGATGTCTCCGAGGTAAAGAGTGAAATGGTAATGGGTCGAGCCAGGGAGTAACCCAGGTAATGTAGGGACATGGCCACTGCCATGAAAAAAACTGCCTTGCCACGAGGACCAATCCATGATTCTGCTGTTGTCTTTGGACTCTTTTTGACTGCCACAGCCTTGTTCTTTTTGGATGGAGCAGCTTTCTTGTTGGTAGCGCCGCCCCGAGGAAGATCCTCCACCGCAGAGGAAACAATGGAGGAGAGAGCAGATGCCGCTACCACAACAGCACCACCTCTGCCAATGGAAAGAGCATGTTGCAGCACTGGGGAGCCATTGGTACCCACAGTGTTGACTAGCCCAGATATCTCCAACATGGTTTTTGGTCTCCAACAGGTTCAGTTTTGAAATGATGGCTGGAAGAGGAGATGGATGAGACTGATGGCTGCGGCTGATTGGCACTTGCTTGGCATCACAACCCGATCTTGTCCTGACGCCTATCGTTAACCCTTACCTGATTCGAACTGATTTTCGAACGTTGATCGAAATCATTCGAATTCATTGGGCGAAACACGAACAATTGAAAACAAAGCAGCAGCTCGCAAAATCGCAAAATCGCAAAATCCCAAGTACAGTAATCCCAAGTCAAGCAACCAACCATGACAGTCTCGTGAAACCTGACCGCTCAATTCGGTTCCGTCTCTCAAAGTCGACTCGACTCCGTCGTTGCTCCGCAAAGGCCTGCTGTTTAGTGATACCGTAGCGAACAGAAGTCCTTTCACGCACTTTTTTGTTTCTCAGATGCTCGTTACTACTACATCAACCATGAACTCGACTACTTCTTTTAGTGGTACTTCAATACGGCGCCGATTGACCACCACTGCCAAACAACGAAGTCAGCTCCACAACCAATGGAAAGAGTCTCTGCGACAAGCCTGTGTGTCTCGAGCGCGAAAGAATCGAAAGGACTTGATTTGGAGAAAAAGACAACAACAACAACCTACGCTGACCAATGACGATGACATGATGGCTCGAAGTCTGGTCGAACAAGAACTGAGACAGCAAGGAGTCTCCATTGTCACTCCTAGAAAGGCTTCTACTGTTTCTTCAGTGGATGCATTGAATTATGGTTTGACAACCGAAAATAGAACCAATCCAGCAGCACAACCATGTTCCATGATGGCAGATGAGGAGGAGCATGGCTTTAGCATTAGTGAACAGGAACTCGATGAATTACTGCAAGAAGTAGAGGAAGAATTGAGGCGCAATGAAGAAGAATTGCTGGAAGAAATGCTGGAAGAGGAACGATGTCAGCAAGAAGACATGGCACTGCAAATTGCAGAGTATGAAGAATGGCAAAACACCAGCAATAATACAAGCATGGACGAAGAAGAATTTGTCATTTGTCCCCTCTGCTGTGAGTCCATGCTAGTGCAACAGCAACAACAGCAACAATACTCATCACAATCCCATCAGCCAACCAACATGACGATTGCTTGTCCCAATGATACGTGTCACTTTCAAATCACTTCTACAATGGGGCTGGCAGATTTGAAAGAACAACTCAGAGTGGCATTTGAGGAGCATTCCATGACTTGTCCTCATAGTGGTACATTGACATTTGACTTGTTGCCACCAATGGAAGCGACTGAACAGCAGCAACTTGTTGGATCTTGTCCAGAGTGCGATGGTGTCATTCTACCAGTTGGCCAGATGCCTTCAGCCAGTCTCACATTTTGAGTTTTGGAGTCATGTCAAGGTGACTTATTGGCCAACTATAGAAATGGGAGCACTTTATATATAAGCAATGACGAGTTCAAGCTATGCTGTGGGAAACCGCCGTGATTAATTTAGAGGACTGGCTCTTTTTGCCTTTAGAAATGCCTTGTGCTAGCTAGCTAACAATTATTCAAGGGTTTCAATAGTCTGACTGCGGCAGAACTGTGTTCACCATGGAACGAACCACTTCTTGCATCTCTAGATCATCCTCATCCACGTCATCAAACTGATCGTTCCCACTTGCAGTTCCAGCTGCTGTGGCCGTTTCAATGACCATGGGCTGTGGACCGCCTTTCTGATGGTGAGGTTTCGCCAATGGTCGCTCACTAGATGCGGCAGTGGCGGAGAGGTGCTCTCCCAGCATTTCCTGTTCGGCCTTGCGTTGTTTGGCCTCGTGAGTGAGACGGCTCTCCACCATTGTGCGGACCGTCTTCAGACGAGTCGTCAGCTGAACGTCCTTCTCCAACAGTTCCACTGCAAGAGCACAGGCACGATTACCCGCAACTTCACTGGATGCATCGGAAACAGAGATCAAAGTATCACCCAAACATTCAATGCATCCCACGTAGCGTTGCCCATCAAGCTTGGCTTTGCCCCAGCGTTTGCCCAGCCAGACAGGAATGTCTGGTTTCAAAGCAGCAAACTTTTCCTCGCGCATAACCTTCAGTTCCAGAACGGAACCGCCCAGTTCTTGCATGGCCTTTTTTGGATGCACCATGACAATGCTCTTGTCTCCTCTGGCCTGGATTTCTTGTAGAACAGTGCACATGGGTTTCAGAATTCGGGATACGGCAGCAACGCCGCTGGCAAATCCGCTGTCCATGTAGACGGCACCAATCAGTGCCTCCACAACATCTGCAGCCACCTTTGGTGGGTTGGTTCCCCAAAGACCACGACCGAGCTCTTCCGTGCGCCATTGGTATGTCTCAATTCTCTTTGGAAGTGTCTGGTCACAATGATTCAAGAGCTTCAAGAGGTCATTCCTAATGGCGAGAAAGGCCAGGGTCTCGTTTGCTTCTAGCGTTGCGGACACCATCACGCAGTCTCCCACTGGCATCGATATAAAGGTCTTGAATATCCACTCGCGAACAGCGAGGCAGAGCACTGCGTCCCCCACCCATTCCAACCGCTGATAGGAGGGCACATTTGGGTGCATTGCTGTAGGATGAGTGAAGGCCTCTTCCACCAACTCGTATTTTGTGAAATGACGATGGCCTGTGAATGCTGTCGCAGCGGCGATCAATTGGGGCTTGGGTTTCGGCCGGTCTTGCCCCAATCTAAGCTTGCCCTTGTCGTCACGATGACTGGGGAGCGTCACAAGCAACTCATCTGCGACTGCAAATGCTGCCTCGTATCCACGAGATAGATAAACAAGACCCAGAAGAGATTCGACGACATCGGCACATGTCTTTCCCGTAATCGGGTCTTCCACTGCCACACCAAGCCCATTGTCGTTCCCTGGTGTGTCTGCTGCGTAGAGCTCCAAGGTTGCCGGTGCCCACTGACCGCGGCCCAAGGGTGAAGTCAAGAGGAAACTGTCAATTCGAAAACTCTTGCAAATGATAGCCAATCGGTCGTTGCAACCCATTACTGGTCCGTTCAAAGACAAAGCAAACTGTTAGGTCTGCACTTTTCAATCAAAAGGATTCGATGGCTCATTTGCACAAAACAACTCACCCGAACGCAGGGTGGATAGGTCACCCTCGTGGAGAAGCTCTATCCAATCAGAGAACTCAGTGGAAAACATGAGGCTCTGAGTTTGTACCATTTTCAGCACAGCATCACCCAACCACTCAAGACGGTCGTAGTCAGAATATTCAGATGACTCCTCCTCCGAAGCACTCTTTGATGTCAAGGCCTCTGCAATCTGCGCAAGGGGCAAAGGGGACAGAAAGTTGCCGAGCACATGCATGTGTGTTTTGCAGTGCTGGACAAAGGCATGGGCAGTCAGAAAAGGTTGCATGTGATGAAGAAACTGTGGCAGATGCGTGCAGAGAAGAAGAATTGAGGGGTCGGCCAAGGTTGACGCCTCCATGCAAGCATCCTTTGGCAGCAACAGCGAACGAAGGTCACGGTTGACCTCGTGGCGCTTTGAATGAGCTCCCATTCTCTCTGGAATCTTTGGTTCGAAGTTATCGTCATCGAAATCCTCAGCAAGCGCCTTGTTGAACGGAAGGACCCAAAGACGCTGCGCATCCCAAAGAACGCAATCAGCAGACACATCGTACTCTCGGCAGACTGAAAAATAATCTTTGAAACTCTCGACGCCTTCTCGCTCCCCTGGAAATGGTGCAGAACAGGTCATGCCGCTTGAACCGTAGCTGATGTAGGTGAAGTGCTTGTCATATCTAAAATAAATACAACAATCGCAATCTTTCATAAGCTAGCGGGTCCAGCGAACGCATCTGAGATATCTGAATCTGACATACGTACCTTGGAGACCATAGTCGCGGTTTGGGAAGACCCTCGAGGTCAGATACCGAGCGGACTGCCTGGATTCGTTCTGCTTCAGTTCGATGCGACTGGTTTATCAGTGATTGCATAGTAGCCCAGTCGAGTTCCCCAGAAGCCGACAAAAGGCCGACATAGTATGGAGGAATGCTGGCAGGCAGCCCTCCGAATGATTTGTTTCGAAAGTAAACGTTCTTTGTTCTCCGCCGCCAGCGAGCATCAAACAAGAACTTGAAGAAGCGTTCAATGGCTTGGAATTGAAGGTCGCTGCACTCGAATGAAAAACTGGTTCCAAGAGAACAGGACACCTTGCCAAATCCTCCGTGCAGGAAAGAAGCGCCGGGAATGATGGAATCGAGAATATCTGTTGTCGATATGACCGCCAGCCGCTGTCCTTCCGGCGATCGCAAGATCTTGTGCATCTTGTCCATTCTGTCATTGCTTTGGAGCAATGGATAAACAAAGAGCTTTCTCTTGAGTGGCCCATGGACTCCAAATCTGCCAAATGTGGGGATTTTCACGCGGGTTGGTTCCTTCGTTGCTTTCGAAAGCATCTTGTCGATCAGATCGCTTCTGTTAAGTGGAAGAAGGCGATCACTAAGCACTCCACTCTTGTGAAGCCGGACGCATGCCATCATTGCCAACACCTGTTCCTTGTCCTTCTTCGAGGCGCCCCAGTATTGTTTTGGCAGCGTGATTAACCGCAAGTGGGAAGGTAGATGTGCGGGAAGATGGAGCTGCCGCTCAGTGTAAACAGGCAAAAAGGCAAGCAATGCCGCCTTGGATGTGCGAGCGATGGGATCAAGTGGCAATGACAAGATGTACCTGTTGACCAACGACTTTGCTGTGTTCATGTCGACTGATCCACGCATCTCTTTGCTTGAATACCGCCCCAGCTCTACTGACCGAAGCTCATCACAGTCGGAAAGCTTTGCAGGTATACGCATCTGCTCCAGTTGCTTGGGAAGATTGGTCATCACAGTCGGAGGTCTCGAAGATATGAACTCGTGGACCCGAACAGAGAGCATTTGTGCATCTTCCAGCGAAAGAACAGGGCACGTCTCCGGGTCCTTGAAAACGAAGAACTTGGCACACTTCTGCCTCGCTCGCCCTAGGAAACGCAAAGTTTAGAGTGCAATGAACCGGAAGAACAATCGTCATCAAGTGACAGGAGCTTACCCTTCATTTGAATGTAACCCTTGGCACTCTTGAGAGAATCAAAGGCAACTACACAACTGCATGCCTGCACGTCCACCCCCTCTTCTACCACCGAAGTGGCAATCAGCACGTTGATATCCCCGCGCCGCAAAGAAGACAAGACGTCCCCGATCGCCTTCTCTTGATGGAGCCAACTTTGCCGAATGTCATCGTCATCATTAGAAGTGAGCCTCCGGTGCATATTCAACGACTTGAATATCCCGGTCGAATGCCGGACGAGAGCTTCACATCGAATAGACTCGTGATCTTTTGAAATGTACCCATTTAGCGACGCCTCATCACTGTCAGATTCACTGAACTCGTGGGACAGGGTCGATGTCTTGCCCAAGTCGTTCGATCCCATAGCCGTTTCTTCAAGTGAATTCAAAGTATCATCCACCTGGGCGGGCTCCATGCTATCAACCTTACTTGACATATCCCGTGCAGATTGGCTACCATCGTAAATAGATTGGTCGGAACAGTGCAGGTGGTCGTAGTATGCCTCCAGATAGTTCTCGCTGTCGTCTTCGTCCTCCGCGTCCGAGAACTGATTGCACGACTGCGATGGGGCTGCCGGCTCAGCGAAACTACGGCCGGGTGCACGGGATTCTTTGCTTTCAATAATGGTCGCAGTAGCAACAGGAATGTTTTCTTCCAAGTCGCTCTCAGCATCGGCAAACTGGTCCCAGCTATTCGTCGGCAGCGGCTTGCATCCACCCACCAAAGGTGCAGATTCGTTGAAAAGCTGGGGCGTCGTGGATCGCATCTTGCGAGCGGCTGGACGTGGCTGCTTTCTTGCTTCAGTAGCGCGGTTCCAGTTGTCCGTGGCAAGATGCTTGAGACGGAATCGGAAAAAATCGTTTAGCGCCAGAGCTGTAATCCGCCGCTCAACAAAGACGAGACAAACTGCAGAACAAGATGGTCCATTGGTTGAGGAAAAGAAGTGAGATCATCTGATTCTAAACAACAACACCATTACCATCAACACTTCGCGTACCTGTCTCCGCTGTGCCATTGACTTCAATTTGTTCTTCGAGAAGCTGTTCCAATGCTAACAATTTGTCCGACCGCCCTCCACAAGGACAGTTCCGGGCCTGCCGATCACAAAACTCAGCAATCGCTTGAAGATACTGAATCAAGTTTTGAAATGCCACATCCTTTTCCTCCTCAAAGGTGTTTCGGGAGATCTCTTTTGTCAATGTCTGGCAATAGTTGGCCGTTGCCAATGGCCCAAGGTTTTCATACAAATGGAAGATTTGTTGGCATTCCCGCTTTCGCGAGGCATGGATTTTGAATGTATCCAGCGATGGTAGTGGCGGGTATGGAACTTTCGAGTCAAAGGCGATATCTTGCTCTTCCACCTTTTTGCGCGGAACATTGGTCTCCAATGGATTATCAAGCATGTGCGACACTACCGTGGCGTCAAGCGTGGTCTCGAGTTGGTGAAGCATGTGCGCCAGATGTTCATCACTGTGATTTGTCTTCACCTTGACCAAAGGCGAAGCGGTAAGTCCCACGATGCGTGGGCGCTGTTGGGTGGGTAACGGATGGTAGAATTGTTTCATCAGGGAAGCATACGAGTGGTTACCAATAGCATAATGACATTCATCCAAAACAATTAGATTGAACCGACTGAGTTTGAACATGTCGCCATAATGCATCTGGGAGAAGCCGGAAATAGCAATATGTGAGCGGCAAGCTGCAAACATGATGCCATTGTGATGGGCGTGAAAAGCTGTTTTCTGCACTTACCAGCAAATCATGGATCTATTAGGTGGACAAGTAAAGCAAAGTGAGTGATGATGATGTCTCTCGCGTCCCTACCCACGGCCTGGGATAACTCTGCACTTACGGCCCCATGAGTGGCAACGATAATGTTGCATTCTTGCAGTTCACGCCGCGCCTTTACGGTAGTGCTTGTCGCATAGCAGGCCACACGGACTTTGTAAGGGAGATTGGATCGAAGAACCTGGCTCTGCTGGATTGCCAAAGCGACACTGGGCACCAGAAACAGCGTTTGCTTTCCTTTCTTAAACGCCGACGCAAAGTGGCGAATACACATGAGGGCAATCAATGTCTTTCCTGCGCCAGTACCCAAATGGACAATGGTGTTTCGCGTGCAGGCAATTTCAAATAATCGCTTTTGGTAAGCACGAGGAGCACCCATGACTTTGGCATCCTTGATGGCTTGCTCCACATGTGACTGTTTCAATCCATTGTTGGTGTTGTTCTTGTCGGTCGTAGAGTTTGATGTGTTTGATTTGGACCGCCATTCTCGAAAAGCTTGGAATCCTTCTGTCTCCAATACCTCCACAGACTTGGCAATCCGTGACACAGCGTGGTTCTGGACCTCGCCAAATTCCTCCATGGTGAAGGGTTCGCGCAAAAAGAATGATTCTCCAATCTCCAGCGCCTTCTTGGTCAGATGGCCGCTGGTGAATGGAAAATCACACTCACTGTTATCTGTGTTGCCTTTCTCTCCCATGGTGAAACGAGTCGATTCCTTCCGGCCTCCATCCTTGTTGATGTTGTTGTTTGTTTCCACAATCTCACCTTCCTCCATTTCAGTGTCATTGTCATTCTTGTGTGTGCGATCCGTTGATTCCCGTGAAGTGAGATAACCACCTCCCCGACCTACCTGACTGGAGTCAGATAGATGAAACAGGTGCCCATCTCGCTCCACACAAGAGTCTTCGGACAGCACCAGCCCCTTATCATAGCCATCACTTAGGCGAATTGTTGCCTCGCGGGCATTCGTGTATTTGTCAATCTTTCGTCTTTTGGTCGCCATCATCACCGGCTTGTCTTGTTCGTCTGGTGCAAGATCCTCTCGTCCAGCTGTCATTATCTTGTCTACTAGCTAGGCATCAAATCAAATAGAATCTAATGATCAAGTCTCACTCAACAAAGCAATGATGTGGGTATCAAATGACGCCAATGCCAATCCGGATGCAAATTCGCAATTTGCCACCAATCAACTGAAACTCTTAACCACCGGCAATTTCTCTCTCCTTGTCACTTATCCACAAGCTAGTTCGCTACCCTTGATAACCAAGCTATGGAACCGAATCTATCAGCTCCAAACAATGCCACTCTCTCTCCAACTCTCTTACTTCAGCGGAGAGGGAAAATAATAATGAAAATTTCGGAGGACGAAGCCGTCAGCTCAACTATGATGGCTGACCCAGATTTCAAAAAGTGACGTCACGCAAGGGACTAACTAATCACACGATATCCTGCAAACGCTATCCCCTTTGGCAAGGAGGGAGGGGCCTGACTGGGAAGACAACACAAACACTTAGAGGGTTACAGTACCGATAGGGGCACACCAACATGGGCTCTCGGATTGAAGGATTTGAAGCCTGTGCTACTGCTGCCAAAGTGGGCTGTATTTCTATTCGGCTTATTCCAGGGGTATGATGCAAGGGATTTGACTGGGATGAAGACACATGCACCGATGTAGCGGAAGATGGGCATTTGGAAATGCTGCAATACGCCCACAAGAATTACTGTGCATGGTGTGAACATAGCTTATGAAAACGGGCGGCCAGCTGGAATGCCTCGAGTTTGCCCATGAAAATGGTTGTCCACGGAATCACCTGACATGCAACTCTGCGGCTGCAAGTAGTCGCTTGCACTGCCTGTATATGGATGTGCTGATGCTGTCCATCCATACGTAGACAGTCAGGCTTGTGGAGTAATCTGGTGTTAGCGTTCGAACGCAACCACCGAGACCAATCGATAACAAACCGCCAAGATATTCGTCTCATACTGAGAAAACTGATGAAGATGCAAAAACCGACGATTGATTACTACCATCGTATGTCGACACATTCCCTCACGGCCCCATGCACCTGCACCGCAAGCTGCGAAACGAGCGATCTCAGATTGAAACTGTTCAGATACGGCAACGGCACACCCATCGCCCGAAGCGCAAGAACGCTGATGACACCGTATTTGACAATGTCAGCAATCTTTCTTCTCTGAATGCGCCTTGCTCGATAGACGCCGTACTTGCCCCGAGCCAGCTGCACAAAAGCCTCGGTGTGTTGCGACAGCAACAAGTCTCGAACCAAAAGGAGGTCCGAGTGCACCGGGTCCAATGATCGGACATCTCCCCATGTATATAAACCATCGCGCGACACAACAGCCAAGGCTTCTCCAGCTCGACGACCGCGACTGGAGACAAAGGGCACTTCCTGTGACTCTTTGCTGTTGTTGCTGTTGTTGTTATTGTTATTGTTCTTTTGGGCATCAAACAAATACGGCACAATGCCTTCTCTGGCGAAAGCTTTGGTGATTTCGGCGCGATATGCCGTGAGTTCCTCGTCCGTCAAGGTGTCTGCCTTGGCAATTATCGGTACGACGCAGACCTCGGATTGGATTCGTTTCAGAAAATAAGAGTCCATTTCCAAGAATCTCCCCGGTGACAAAAAGTAAAGGCAAACGTGAATCAAGTCGTCGCAGGCTTCGACGTGTTCATCTGGGAGCGTCGTGGAGGTTATTTCGGCCTTGTACTGTCTCGATCGACACTTTTGCATGTACTTGGCAATCGGACGCACCGCATCTCGATGATTGACACGGTTACCAAAGCCTGGCGTATCGATTATTCTAAGTAACAGCCGCAAACATTCATTCATTCATTCATTCGTTCGTTCAATTTTGATGAATGATCAGAGAGAAGGATCAGAATGGTGTCGAAAAAGAGGCATTGAATGGATGATCACAATGTCATCATCTTCTCACCTCACTCTTAAAATGGTATTGCTCATGGGATCGAAGCGAGAAAACTGACGCGAGGGATCGACCACCATGGTCTGTGAAGGTGGTTTTGGTCGATAGTTTGATTTCAATTTTGTCGACAGGGCAGGCTGCCGATCTAGGAACCGTTTGGCCAGAGTGCCTTTACGCGAGGCCTCTCCGTTGTTATTTTGCGATTGAGATTCTTCGTCATGTTGCCACAATTCGAGGAGTGTGGAGCAAGTTGTCGTTTTGCCGAGACCCGAGAGACCCGCTATCATAACATTCAACGATATGACTCGTGGTCGCAGTTCCAAGGAAGGCATGGCAATATTGGCAACCTGCTGTGGCGACTTCTCTTTGGATGCATGCACCAAGCCCGGTTGCCCTTCAAGCGAAAGAAGAACCAACCAGAACCTAGCCAGGCAATAGAAAGAACGTCGCGACTGCATCATTGCGAGAGAAAGAACAAACAATGCCTTCTTAAAAAACTACTGTAGTCTAGGTACAGCGTAGGTAATAATCAGGTGTCGATGGCCGATCACCCTTCTCGGAAAATCTTCTTGAAGCTACTAACTAATAGCTACGTGTAGTGGTACCGTACCTGGTAGTGAGATGAAACGTACTTGCGTACGGCGTACCGGTACCTACCGCTACCGGTGGGTTTTCCGCTCACATTTTCAATTTTTCCACATAATCTGTCCGCCCGTTTCCTCGGATTTCACTAAGAGAACCATAGGCTCCAGAAATAACCTACTCGATTTTACTAGTTAAATTTTGATGAGCGTTATGGGAAAAGGTTCTGCGGGCGGAAAGCTTCTTTTTCATAGATTATAGTGGACTACTTAACAACTACAGTGTCAATCTTGGAAAGCCGTTAATAATCTCTTGTGCAGGATCTATGTACTATAGCCAATACTGTACTGAAGCCCTTTCAAATTATTTCCGTTGCTGGTTCTTGAGCAATTCAACCTGTCGTGGTTTCAGTGGTAAAGCGTTCAACAACAACAAACCAACCGCTGCGGCGGCTACCAAAAGAGGACGACCATGGCGCTCCTGTTGCTTCCTCCTGTATCCTCGGAAACGGATTGGACAGATTACATACAAATGACGTCCGTGCCTCTTGTCGGCCTCGATCTCAGCTGCGATCTCGTCTGCGGTCTCGGCGCTTTTCCAGGCCTTCGGCCTTCCTTTCGCGCCTTGACCTTGCCTCGCTCTTGCCCTCGATCTCGACCTTGTCGATCCACGGTCAACCGTGCATTCCTTGGCTTCGCCGCGGAAAGCACGACTGACCTCGATCTTCAAGGGCCACGAACGTTTTTATACAAGATGCTGACCTGGAAGGTCCCGCAAATAATGAAATAGTTTAATTATAATGAATTCTTGATTAATGTGTTTAATGGTGATGAATGGTGATGAATTCATCACCAGTTTGTTGAATGGTGATGAATGGTGATGAAAATGATTAATTCGTGATGACTGGTGATGAATCGTGATGAAAAATACTACTGTTTTACTATAGAGATAATGAATGGTGATGAATGGTGATGAAAATGATGAAACCGTGATGAAATGTGATTAATGGTGATGAATTCATCACCAATGTGTTGAATGGTGATGAATGGTGATGAAAATATTTAATTAGTGATGAATTCAATTCCAGATTTTCATGTTTCGCAGGACCTTCCTGCATGATTGAATGTATCATACATGTACAATCGCACCCTCTTCATGGCATTCAACCCCGTTTTTGTCTCGTCAGCAGTACAGTACTTTGCGTGACACTACCTGGGCCGTTAGGTGCGCTGCCCAACTGCCTTGTTGATCGCCACAATGTATGCTGTACCGGACGATGTTGCAGTGCGCACCTTCTGAGCGTTTCATGAACCTCTCCTCTCATTTTTTCGTCGGCTCGCTGTTCTCAGAGAAGAATCGTGAGGTGTTTCTGCAGTTGCTCGTTGCGTCTATCTCGTCCATACGTACAGTAGACTCTACGTTTTGAAGTTTTTGCGTCGATATTACAATGGCTCAAACACGATCAGTATCTATCTCTGTTTTTCTATTGGTGATTGCTTCCGTGTGTACTGTACCAGTACTTGTACTTGTACACACGAAGACTTCCTCCTTGCGTGGAAATGGAGACCGCGGCATCGTCGACGCTGAAGATACTAAGCGCCCATCAAGTGAAGGAAGCGGGACACAGCGCAAGCTGCTGTCCATGGAATTGGACTACGAATTCGTGCAGAGAGCAAACCTTGCACACTATCTGAGTAAGCTCATGAAGAGAAACACGCTACTGGACGAAATTGATTATTGGAATGACTATTATCAGAGCTTTATGGCTTGGGACTTCTTGGGGCATGACCGCGCAATGGTGGTCAAGAAAGACGATGTATGCTACACTCACTTCAAGGCGCAAAGTCGTAATTCCTTGATTGACATTTGGCAAACCCTGAATCCCCTTGTCCAGCGCAACGCTTACGGAACTGGTTGCGATGTTCGAAAGAGCTACTACAATGCCTACGAAGCTCCGTACCAAGATGAGATGAAAGCCGAAACAGATCGATGCGTGAAGTCATGCGAGAATGGTGACTGCCCCCTGATCTTGTGCGGAACATCCACAGGTGGCGCAAGTGCCATGGTTGCAGCCCTGGATCCATTCATGCAGAAGTACGATCCACTCGTCATTGTCACAGGACCCCTACGAGCATTGATCAGCGATGAATGTGACGCTTTGGACACGGACAGGATCTATCGGATTACCACGGCCAATGCTGGTTACTACGACGCCGCATCCGATGGCTCTCCGAAAATGGGGCGTCATTTTGGACACCACATTATGCTCGACGAAATGAGTAACCCGTTCTACATTGGTCCTGATGACAGTACCCTCCGACAACCCGACAACTACAACATCCACATTGTGGAAGCCTACATCAATCGCTTGCAAGCATTGGCGGACCGCCCTGCTTCGGATTATCCCATGACACTCGAACAATTCCCCGATGGACACTGGTGTACTCTTAGTGACGAATGCAATTCTGGGCACTGCCAACTCGACGATCCACTACTAGAAGGAGTGTGCTCCGAACTAGGAGGGGGTGCCGCTGATGTGTCACGCGATGATGTGTTGCTCGCTGTGGGCTCTATTTGCTCGAACGCGGATGAGTGTGCGACAGGCATGTGCGTGTTAGGCAGATGCGCCATGGAGGACGGCTTGTTGGCCGTGGGGTCTTACTGCGAAGAGCACGAAAATTGCGCCACTGACAAATGCGTGGACAACTTTTGCATGGACAAGACAGGCGAAGGATCGTGGTGCCGAAACGATTGGGAGTGTGCCTCCAATCTTTGTGCGGGTCGATTGTCCTGGATTATGATGAGACGATGTGCGGCGGATCCTTAGCTAGCCGGCTATACCAGGTACTTATTGGCTGGAAGCGAGGGTGCCTTTACGCATACATTTACTACGCTCAATCTGAGTGAATGCATAACGATACATCGCAGTACAGCTTCAAGGGACCCCTGACGCCTTCAATAATACACTTCATAATAGACTAACCTTATTGCAATAGTAGTATGTAGTATTAGCGATCGATTGATCGACTATCGACTGATGAGGCTGTCCCTCCACGCCATGTGTCGCTGTTGTTGTTGCTCTTGCCGCTGTGAAAGGGGTGCTGTGACGTGTCTGTGGCTGCCCCAACCATTCTATAGAATGAAAATGGCTGAATAGAATGGTATGGCATTCTATAGAATGACCTATTCCACAGACTTCTCGCACCAGATCCAATTTTTAACTTCCATGGTGGAGATCCACTGCCGCCGTTCTCGATCCTATTCGTCCAGAACGGAAGGGTCACGTCTTACGGTACGACCGTGGAAGCAATGCTTGCAAGAAGGGCTGAAACCGTAAACGGGTACCTGGTGCCGTTACTCGAGCAAATCGTTCGGCTTTATAATTCTCAAATTGAATGTTCAAGCAAGTTCAGAAGACCCATTTCAAGTGTGATCAACAATGGAAGACAATGATGTTTCAGACAGCTTTAGTGTGGCAACAGCTAGAGTTGACAATCGTGACATTAATAGGGTGTGTACGGCGGCCGACGCTTTTCTCACCCACACCCTGAAAAACTCATTTGCATTTTTCTTCTTGATGGTCAACTGACAGAATGATCGACCTGCGTCAGACGGTCGGGGCGAAGATGCTCGTCAAAGTACGTACAAGCGACTTCCAACTAGCTACTAGGATCGATTGTGTCCAATCCATTCTCCTTGCCGTCATAACTTCTGCTCACGCCATTTCTTGCCCGTTTGCCTGTTTAGCTCTGAAACGCTTGCTTGAGCCACTGTTCAACCGACTTCGCCCCGTAGAGCGCCAGTTGATTGGGGCTCTTCTTTCCTTTGTCGTTGCCCATCCAGAGGATGAAACAAGTCGGAACAGTTTGTTCCATACGTTCTCGACGAGCGACGAGGATGCTCGCATCCTAGACGACGTTCTCGCTTACTTGGAGCGCAATGGAACGCTTGAGCTAGTCGCAATCAACCTCGAGATTGCTTTTGCAGCGACAAATTTACCTAATTCGCGATTCTGTTCGGACCTTCATCCAACGAACGGCGTCGCAGGAGAACACTGACATGTCTTCTTGACAAATCCTGTTATGGCACGAGCCCACGGGCGTCCCGAACTCAACCAAATCAACGAGAACAACGAGAATGGCGACAACGACAACGGCACCGACGATGCCCATGTCTCATTGGTTGGCCTTCGCGGCACAGAAATCGAGCAGCAGTCTACAGAACAACAAGGTTCATTTAACAGTACGCAGAGTTCCGTCGGTCTCGCTCTCTCGGAGGAACGCAGCAACGGCCAGGAAGGTTGACTTCAATCCTGACTCTCAAGATGCATTGAAACGACGATTGATCATTCCATTCTCATGAACACTTCACGGCTTCAAACTATAATGATGGGGCGCATTCAGAATACACGAACGGGAGTTGGGAGTCCGTACCGTACGACTGTACAATAGGAAGAGTACAAGCTATCAGCTAAAAACATCCAATATGAATTCGTATTTCGTTTACTACCGCCCACAATAGTTATTCAAAGCTGTGGCTAGGCTTCCAGGGTGTAATTGATTTTCCCCTCGTTCGTTCAATGCACGTTGTACATGTACTGGTACATGTAGTGCTACTCACAAAGAAGCTTGGCAATGGGCATCCGTTTCGGGGGCTCCCACTAATATCGATAATGATCCTCTGAAGGAAAATGCTCTCGTGTTCTCGTCAAACTGCAATCCCTTGCCAAGTCCAATCTTCTTGGACCCACAGTAGCCAGAATAACATTGTGTTGCTCATGTTGCGAGATCCGCAGCTACATGCCCAGATGCCGTCAGATGCCTTGGGCTCTTCCACAGGTGCATCCAAAGCGAAACTGGCTTCGCTACATCAAAGTGTGTACCGGTATGGGCGTTCCATCCAACTCACTACTGTCTATAGCTGATGAATATGAATATGATGATAATGGTATTGAATAGTGAAGCAGCAATCTACTCTGATACATTATACACGTACAGTGCAGTTTCTCCACTGCGTCCCGTGCAGAGTAATATGCCCATGAAGATGGTTGTCGATGGGATGCCACATCTCATTGGTGCTGCTAGCTAGATTTGGCCATTTGGAAGTGCTAAGTTTTGCAATTGAAAAAGGATTGCCCACTTGACGAAGGCACTTTGCTGGAGAGCAGTAATGCACATGCATGCGCACGTGACGCCCGAGTTCAATACGTGGTATCCGAGAGGAATGCGCGATCTGAATGTGGTTTGACCACATAGCTTGGCAAGAGCCTTTGTTAGGTAGGAATATTCTAGTGAGGCAACAACGGTCTTGAACAGTCTCCTGATCCTATTGTGAAAGGTAATTAGTAGAATGATTCAATCAACATGGCTTGCTGTTTTGTACTAGCTAGTCTGGTACCTGATGAGCAGCGGCCTAAACAAATCCGTCTTCAAGCCAATGAAACGGTGCCTACTAGCCAACATTACCAAACTCTATTGTGATTACTAGTAGAGAAGAAACGAGTGTGAATTGTTGCAGAACTGCCCTGTGTCGTACCGTCACCGGTGGAACCCACGTCCACACACTTACTTGGCCAGTCCTCTACATTACATACAGCCAAAACAGAAAGCAAAACTACCTTTAAAAGATCTGTCCGTGTGTTTGATTGATTGCTTCTCTTGCTTGCTTGTTTTCTGTTTAATCATCCAACGCGGAGGCTCCCGAAATAATTTCAATGAGTTCGGTGGTAATACGGGCTTGACGAGCACGATTGTACCGAAGGGTCAAGGAGTCGATCATTTCACCGGCATTTTTGGAAGCGTTTTCCATGGCAGTCATTCGGGAGGACTGTTCGGCGGCGGCTCCATCCATAAAGGAGTGAAAGATCTGGGAGGCCAACATGAATTCGTACAGATCGGCCATGGCTTCGTCCTTGTCGGAATCGAAATCGTAGGTGGAGAGACTGACTTCAGATTCGCCTTCAAAGACAAAGGGTGGGACGATCTTGTATTTCTGTTTGTAGACGGCGGCGTTGACATACGAGTTGTAAATCAAGACGACAGCATCGTACTCCATGGCACCAGCAGCCATGAGTTCGGCCGCCAAGGCAGATGCCAATGAAAAGGTCCCGGGGGCTACAACTTCCGTGGCGGATCGGACAATCTGGTCAGGTACAAAACGACGCATTTGTCCACGTCCCTTGTCTCCAATGACGACAACGTCGGCTTCCTTTCCCGCTGCATGGAGTTTCTTGACGCACTCTCTGGTAGCACGTGAGATGAACGAGTTGATACCACCACAGAGACCCTTGTCGGAAGTAAAGGGGACGAGGAGTGACTTCTGGGGAAGGTCATCGTAGGGACATGTCGCATCTTCAACTTCGACGGGTTCCGGGCAGAGTGCAAAGGACCATTGGTTGAAGGGAATGGCCTTTGTCAATCGAGTTTCATCTCCCTTCAACTTGGCGGCGGAAACCATCTTCATCGAACTCGTAATCTTTTGGATGTTTTTTGTCGCATTGATTTGGTTGAAAACTACATGTAGATAATCATACAAAATAAGCCAGGTAGATTCATTTCATTTCATTCAAATGAAACATCAGGTTCAGGATAGCAAAGGCAGTGCAGGTTTTGACGTTGGATGAGTTAGCCACAGCACAAAAAATTTAATTGGGAACACCGACACAAGCCACTAGAAAGCTTCTTTCAAGAAGAAGACCTAAGAACTTACTTTGCTTTTCGGTGGCCATACCACGAACCTGCTGTGTAGCACTACAGACGTGATATGGAAAGCAAGCAACAGGATCAAGACAAGTTCGTGAGAAACATCCATCTTCCTCCCTTTCCCACATCAACCGATGAAACGCAGCCTGTGACGATCGACGGACGGACGGACGGAATCTGCCAAAAGCCTCGGATGATGGTTGTGTGGGTGGATGAAAGCGTTCCACAAAGGGACCTGCCGAACAAACTTTTTCTGAACTACTCACGTTCCAAAGGCTCGGGGAGCCACCCGTCGGGCTGCCATTAATGTTGGTGCCATGGTCACTTCCTTGTTATCTCAATGCTACACTAACTGCTGTCGGTGTGGAAGTGCTGTGGCGAAAGTGCCGATGCGTGTGTTGGGGATGCGGAGGGTTCACAAAAGCTCTGGATCTTGCATGCGTCATCAGTGACTGAATCCGTGATTCACAGGCAGAGCTCCCCATCGCCACGTTTGTTGTGTGAGAATTCAATTCCATTCTGCGCTGTCTAGAGTACATGTACCTGGTAGGTAGCTGTCTCTGACATGGAGCTGACTGTTGTCGCCATTTTCTTTTTTTGCCACTGAGAACATTATTGACTGATTAGAGAAGAAGGCAACATGATCAAACACAGCGCTTCAATTATCTCCTTGATATACCTTATCCTCTTTCTTGGCGAGGTGAATTCATTCCAAACTGCCACCACTAGCACGGGACACCTCCCCACGACGACAACATTGTTCCTCTCGGAAACAACAAATAATGCAGTCGAGGAACAAACGGACCTTCGTTCTGCCACGGCGGCCAAGTTCAAAGTATTGACTTGCACTTCCACAGCGTGTTCCAAGAGAAGAAAAACGTTTGGAATGGATGACTTGGCAACCTTTGGCGCTTTCTACAGTAGAGCCAAAAAGTCGTTTCCCGAAACCATGCAAGTCGAAGAGGCTCCCTGTTTGGGATCCTGCAAATTTGGACCCTGTGTGGGAGTCGAACATGAAGACTATTACGGTACTGTAGCTCTGGAAGGAATGACGCAGGACGAATTTGGAGCTTCTTGGTGAGTGTCTGAAAATTAATGGGTAGCATTGGAACATGTTACTTCACAATTTTCTCCACCCTACTACAGTTCCATCCACTTTCTAACAAAATGTTTTCTTTTTCTTTTTCATTACTAGCTTCCACAAGTAAGTTGCTAACAACGGGACAAAGAACACCACAAAGGACACCTTGCAGCGTGGTGCCATCTTTATCTCACAAATATTGTCTGACTTTTTGCTTTGTTGAATGATCCAATGCACTCGACACATGAACACCCCATACGTTAGTATCATAACAGAGGAGGACGCAGATCGAGTCTGGGCGTGTGTGGAGAATGCTGTAGAAGTCATGATGGAAGCAGAAGATGATGATGAAGAGTAGATTGTGGAGTTCTCCAACAGACACTCAACCAAACAAGACAAGCAATTTCTTTCTAGTATCGACGGCGGCTGCTGCTGTGGCGCCTGTCGGGACTTCGGCTACGGGAACGGCGGCGTTTGCGGTCACGGTCTCGATCCCTGTCACTGTACCTATCATTCCCACCACCACCACTACTTCCTCCATATCGATCGCCGCCGCCGCCACCTCCTCTTCGGTCCCAATCACGTCCACCAGGAGGAGGACCACCGCCATAACGATCGCCGCCTCCACGACCATAACCACCACCACCACCGGGAGGCCCTCCATGTCCGTAATTGTCGTAATATCCACCGGGAGGAGGTCCACCAAATCCAGGAGGTGGCCCTCCACGGCCCATGCCTGGAGGCGGTCCCCCCATACCCATCGTGGGGCGATTGGCTTCTGGGCGAGAGGGATCGTAGCGCCCTGGATAGCGGACATTCTTGTCCTTTCCACCCAACCTGTAAAAATTGTAAAAATTGAATAGAAAGAAACATGACTGTTGATTAGACAAACCAAATGCACAGTAGAATACAAGAGACACAAGATATCTTTCGTACCTGGTACCACCCAGTCCTCCACCGAGACGACGAGGCAGCCACGTAGGAACGGTATGGCCACGTTCCACATCTGCGACAACCTCCCGTCCTTCAATTCTCATTCCATCTGCTGCTCGATAGGCTCGTTTCATGTCTTCTTCATTCTCGTATTCGATAAAGGCATATCCTCTCGACTTTCCATCACGATCCTTGACAATTTTGATATCTTTAATGTGGCCAAAGGATTCCATTTCCCGCAACAGCTTGCGCTCCGTCACTTCATAGGCCAATCGTCCCACAAAGAGTGTCTGGTAGCAATTCATGCCCGCATATTCTCCTTTGCTTTTACGCTGTTCCTTGCGATAAGATTCCGTGAGCGGTTCCAATTTGGCCTCGTGCTCTTTTTTCTTTTGTTCTTGTTTCGCCTTTTTCAAGGCTTGCGGAGTGGGATTTTCTTTGCGAGGAGGCGGTGGACCTTTCTCAAACAACTTCATGTACTGGGCGACACCCGTCCACGTATGCTTACGCTTGTTCTTGGGGATCGGCAGCGGCTTGAGCGGTGGCGCTGGCATAAAGGTAGCACGGATATGGGGTGGCATCAGCATAATGGCCGGACCCGAGTTGGCGCCACGGCTCATTTGACCCCGAGGGGTCATCTTTCTTCCGCTCATGGTGGAGATTTACCTATGATCTTATCTCTTGTCGAGGGCCACAACTGGCTGAATAGCGGTTGGATAGACTGAAGAGATTGAGCCATGGTCTTCGGCGCGACGTCTCGACGGACAACGGTGGGGTGGGAAGCAGCCGTTCTTGACCGTGATTAAAAGATTCCACTGACTAAGCTGTGACTCGAATTGATGTGACTCAAACTGGCAAGATAAGACCCGACCCACTGTGACTCGACTCATCCTATCCTGGACTAAGGTTAGTCCTGCGTGATACACTTGAGAGACGAATCAACGTGATTGATGATCCTTTGAGCTGTTGCAAACTTCATCATCTTTGGCTTCACCTTTTACACGTGGCAGCTTCCGCATCCGCAGTTCCGCAATCCGAATTGCTTCCGGCGCAGTTGAAATTGCCGCAAAGCCGCATTGACTATTGTTCCTGTACCGGTAGGGCTTTTGGGGGTCCGAATTAAACTGCAAATCAACCTTAAATATTCGCTACTACAAGGTTCAGGATGACCCGTAAAAATCACTTATGAATTTGCGGTACTGATGCACTGATTTGGTCACTTGAAACGGCGTCCGCAAAAGGATCTTGGACAACACTTGGAAAAGCATTCGAAGCACAATTTGAATCAAAATGCTGCTTCAAACGTAACTTTGCTTGCCAAACCCCAGATTTGTTTAGCAATTTGGCTTCTTTTGTGTAAAGAATCTAAGTTTCTGATACTGAATCCAAATAATTTGGCTCAAGTAGAGACGCCTCAATGGGCACGAGGCACTACAGAGTGGCTGTTCTCTATGTTCTGGGAAATTGAGCCAGTTGAGGTCTTGTAAGAAAAGCCCCTTTGACAATGGAGTAGAGGCACCAATTCTGGACGCCAAGCCAAGCGCCATGAGAGAGTTATTGTGTTTCGGTAAAACTTGCTTTCGATATCTTGTAAGTTAAGCCTTGTAAAAGGTTCAAGCGTCTAACCAGGGAGGCTATTAATATAAAGTTCAGCCAAAGTCCATCGATTGGTCGGAACTCTGTTCTATTTTGGCCAACTTTAGCCCCAAATTAGCTGAGTCTCTTTCTACGGTAAAGATTCTGAATGATGTAAAGGTTTACTACCATGCAGTTGTCGTTTATTATGGATTTCCGAAACAGGCAGTTATTACTACGGTACTTACCTTCAGATTTATCTGGTTTCGAAAGAGTCCTTGCAGATCCATCGATCCATCACTTTAATCAGCATGTTTTAGTCCAGATTTATGCTGTCTGTTTCTGCACAGACACCCGACACCCAAATGATTAAAGCATGCAGGTGGGATCCGAATCACACTTTTCACAAATTCGATATGAATTGGCATTTGGGATCACAACAGAAGAAAGCTCAGTCACGTCTGATGGATTCACTGATGTTTTGAATAATCATCTAACTAGTAGCTAGTACCCTCAGAAATAAGTTTATTCATCTGCTTTGGCCGTGAACCAATCTTATCTTGGGTAGATGCTCAGGTAAGTTGCCACTTCATGCCAAGCTTGTATCAGAACCCATCTCACTTGTTCACTTGATTGTTAAGCTTGAGCGAATTGACAGATGACTGGTACATTTTAAATGCTACATGCAGATGCGATGGAACTGGGTTTACCAGGGAAATGTAACAGTCATGTACCAGTAGAGTGTAGGGATACGCACAGTGAATGGCAAAACATCCCGAAGTGCTAATTAACTGATTAACATGTATCGACTGTGGAATAAAGTACTGAGTAGAGAATCTGATGTTTGACAGGATCAACTGCCCAAGTACCGGTGCCGGGAACTTGGCTGCCGGATGCCGGGAAATTTAGGCGGACACGGAAATGGCACGCTTTTGTCTCTTTTGCTTCTTCCGATTCCCTCATCCCTCATCTGCTAGCTAGCTACCCAATGCTCGCGGTTGACGATTGTTCGCCATTTTTATCCATCAAATTTTAGAAATGAAAAGAGATCTTCAGTTTCATGATCAATTGGCTTTGAGTTTATTTTTAATTCAATTTTTTAAATAATTCAATTCTTCCCAAGTACAATTGGCCAGTTGATTCTAAAATTTTATCAATTGATTTGCCATTTTTGTCTCTTCTTATCCCTTTTCCGCAAAGACTTGGTGTTGTTCGACCATACTGGGACACACCGGTACTCCCGAGAGCACTCAAGCAGGGCAAGACCAAACGGATCTCCGAAGAAGGATGAGCGACGAACCATCTCAAGTCACAGTCGTCACAGTTAAACATCGCTTTCCTAACCGTTTCGATTCGTGCTGGCAACCCGAGTGTGGAGAGGAATGGGGAAGGCTTCCCCAACCTTCTCAAAGCAATCAGAGCGAACATCAACAATCGGTGGAGCTGTGGATGAAGTGGCAAACCCATAAAATCAAATCACCAGGTACACAGATACCACAACCACTACACATAAGTCACACGCCCCACTAGCTAGCATGGCCACTGCTCAAGTAATGCTTCCCTCTACTGGTTTGCTCCAGGGCGAAGCCGCTCCCCAGCATCAACATCAAGAAGAAGACCTGTTCGACGGCCTCGACAGCTACGCCGCCTGCTTTTGCTGCAACCCATTCGAGAACCTGCTTCCCGAGTCCATCACACTGAAAGGACAAGCCTTTGACGCTATTCTTGTACGAAACGCCGTGACTGGACAGGTTGCCAGCAGCGCCTTCTTCCTTCACTTTGAACACCCAACAACACCTTATCCACCAACCGCTACGGCTGTCTCCAATCCCAATGCCGCTTGCGAAGCACTGCTAGAAGTGGAGGACGAGAAACTGGGGAAGGTCTACTTCACAATCCAATACGATCCCATCACCAAGAAGAGCCAACTGCAACAACCACCTCACTGCCAATGCATGAACCAACAGCAACACGACGAGACTTGCTCCACCGACTCCTTGGAGCTGCTGAGCAACCTTCTCCAACCGGGAAAGAACCCTGTTCGCTATTTGTTTCGCAACAAGCAAAAGGGAGTCCTGGGGGTGGCAAATGCATCCATCTACTTGTGGAGCGACAGTGATCGATTGGTGGTGTGCGATGTCGATGGTACCATCACCAAGAGCAACGTCAAGGGATTGCTCGATACATTGGTTACCGAGAAGTACTCTTACTGTCACGATCGAGTATGCCGTTTCTTGTCCAATTTGAAAGAGCGTGCTTCGATCAAGGCTGCTGCGGACGGAGCCCAAGTCAACTTTCTCTACTTGAGTTCTCGTCCCTTGATGATTGCCAACTCCACCCGCAAGTTCCTCTCCAATGTGCGACAGCCAACGGACTGTGCCTCTTCGGAATACAAGTTGCCCGAAGGGCCTCTTATTGGATTCGGAGGACGCTTGTCGGAAGTCATGAAGATGGAGCTCGTCACTCATTCCGTTCACCTGTTCAAGGCTTCAACCTTGATCGACCAAGTCGTCGCACCCTTCTGCAAGGTCTCGGAGAACCCGCAAGCGAAGCACCAATCCTTGTTTGTGGCGGGCTTTGGAAATACATTCATGGATGTCCAAGCCTACCACATGGCCGGATTGGAGCTCTCCAAGATCTACTTGATTGACAAAAAGTCTCGCATCTCCTGTTTGGATGCTGACACATCCATTGTGGCGGAGCAAGAAATTGCTCTCCTCAAGGCCAAGTCCAAGAAAAGGTCACGACGCATCAGCTGGCGCCCCAAGGGACTCGGCTCGTTGTCAAGCTTTAGCAATCACAGCAGCAACCACATCACTACTATCCACAGCCGTACAAGCGTGGATCCTAGTAGCGGAGACCTGAGCAGCAGCAGCAGTTTTGCATTTGACGAATCATCCCCGGAGAATCGCCCCTCCCTAAAGGAACCAATGTCCCGCAAAACTTACAAAAAGTTTCTGGGGACTTCCTTCATGGGCTATCACGACGATGACCTTCACTTGCATGTTCTATCGCAGTAAAGAAAGGGCTACTTTCATGCTATACAACGAGGCGGCGAATGTATTTTTCTATGCTATATGCTATATTATTACTCGATAACTATGTATAACAATATATCTTTTTGGGAACATGCAACTTTCGCGCTAGCAAGTATCATTGGACGATGGATTACAACATCACCCTTCCTCGACGGTGTCTACTAGTGTTCAGCTCCTACTGGCTAGCTAAGCTTTTAGGTGCTTGTGGATGCCGCGGTGCCGTAAAACACTTCTTTGGAGAGACGACTCGTACCGTACCGGTACCGGTTCTGCCTAAACAGATCTACCAGGTCGTCAAGCACTCATGCCCAGTGGCCACAAGGCTGCTGCCACCAGGTCTGCGAATCGAATCCGTCACCGCAAAACTGGATGTGGCTACTTACGTGGTACCGGTACCGGTACCGGTACCGGTAGCCAAAAGACGCTATGGTGTCCAAGTCTGTCTCCGAACAGCATTGAAGGGTGGGTTAGAGACGCAATAGCCCCGATCGAACCTAGCTCAGAAATTGCAACACCGTCGAGGCGGTGGTTCGTCGTCTTGGCGGGGGGTGACCTTGGGGAGCTCCTTGGGACGTAACCAGCCAATCACTGGGTACCGTAGCTACCGGTAGGAATCGCCTCGATGGTGATGACAAGGATTGTTCTCTTGGCTGACCTGAACGTAATCCGCCCTGTACCGGTAGTGGTACCGGTACGTGCAGCCCACGTTTCGATCTAGCTAGCTAACTACTAGGGGTGTGGATACTGTAGCTCCGCCGCAAGGCTGTCTTTGGAGTGTGGTGGGGAAGAGGACTGGCAACGGTGCAATCGCACCAGGTAAAGGTAGCGAATCAAACCCTCCCAGGCATCCAGCGCGAGCTTTACCAGGCAAGTTGCAAGGTCTCGGAATCCGTCACCGTTGACGAAGCTATTTCTTGCGCTGTACTGGTGGCGAAAAGACGGAAAGGCCCAGAGCTGTCAAAGACCTCCAGAAGGCTGCAACAAGCAGGAAGGCAGCGTTTTCTGGCCTTCGCAAAAGGGCGACCGGAATGCAGGTGATGGCAGAGCTACAGTGTACTACTGCAGTCCGGTACCGGTATCCAGAATTTGCACCACGGTCACGGCTCGTTTCTGGTTTTTCTCAGCGGGCCTACTGGCCACATGTAACCCAAAGCATTGAAAGACATGGAGAATTTAGATTGTGTAATATTTCTAGGTCATTTCGCTCCTTGCATCTATTTCGTGCCAGCACATTCCAGTTCACCACTTCTTCACCAACTCTTTGGTGGTTCTTGCTTGCTTCATCTTGCAATATTTTTTTGATCCAACACAGAACTTTCTGTTCCAGCAACTACTGGTCTATTCTATTCCTGAATTCCAGCAAGGTGGTCAGGCAAGGGCACTTTGGGCTTGCGAACACGCCTGTAACTGTAATCATAGAAATGATCAAGTGGTTGCCTTGATACTCGAACTTTGGACTCGCGGTCCAGGTTGGAGCCAAAGTCTTCAAATGTGTCAAAGTTCTGGGTCACACGTTGCACAAGCGTGCGAAAACGAGGGTCTGACTTGGGAATCGTCCTAAAAGATGGCACAAACATAGAAAGCTGTGAGCCATGCTCAAGCTGCCACCATTGTCGGTCACCAGAGCAGGGGAAACTTACTTGAGATATTCAAGGAGTTCTGGGAACTCCCTAGATCCACTAGGCAACAGAGGTCCTTCTCTGTCCGCGAGACCATCCCAATCGAATCCCCGAAACCATGGATGCTGAATCACCTGCTTGAATCCGCTTTCTGCCTCACCGTTCCTGTTGGAGCCAATGCGCGACTCTGGCCCAGCCAAAAGGCATGAAAGGAAATCAATGCACTCAGGGGATAACTGTGCTTTCGTTTCGGCTGGCATTTCCAAACACTGGCGCCAGCGCAAAATCTTCCGACATGTGGTAACCGGGTCATCTGCCAAAATCAAACATAGATTATTCAGATTTGATATGGATTGAATCAGAATAGAAAAAAGCATAAATTGAACTTACCAGCATAGAAAGGTGTATAACCCACTAAGCACTCGAACATGATGACACCAAGGCTCCACCAATCTACAGTTTGAGTGTATGAGTAGCCAGAAGCTCCATTTTGAGCTGCCAACACCTCCGGGGCAATGTAATCGGGGGCTGAAAATAGGCGGGAATTGGAGTTGTGAGGGAAGGCAAATCAAGGAACACAAAACGAAGAATCTGCATGACTTACTGCCAACTGTCGAGTAAGCCATCTGTATAATTTTGGATTGGAAATAGCGAAAACAAATAGGTTGGAAAGGTGTGAGCACGGGGAACACAAATTAAATGCAGATCGACATATTCTTGGGTCGTACCTCACGCCGAGTTTTTCCCGATTCATATGTTGGTCTTTGGGGATTGTTGGTAGTACCAATTCCGTCAATTGACATGGCCATAGCATCGTCGCCCTGTCGATGTCTTGCGTCCGACGCATCTTGGCCCTCTCGGATCATGTCATCTCCACCACCGCCATTACCTGCATTTCCACGCATCTTGGCCAAAATGACATCAGGATCATCGTCCTGACTCGCATCTCCAATCTTCTTGCAAAGACCAAGATCTGTGAGTTTTAAATGACCACGAGCATCTAAAAGCATGTTGTCGGGCTTAATACTATCGAGGCCAACAGCTTTGTTAGGGTGATCAAAATTATGCCAACGATGTGACAAAGAAGCAGCCTGAAACTGGACTTACTCTCTGTGAATATACCCCAATGCATGAACACTGCTGATTGCTTGGGCTGCCTCGGCCATAAAAACCATAGTCACTGCCTCAGAAAATGTATCTTCCTTAATCAAGAGGCTCATAAGATCACCTCCAGGCAAAAATTCCATCACCATGTAAAGATGAGTCTCATCAAAAAAGCTGAAATGCAACACAGTCAGCCATCGATTATTATCGTCAGCCTTGGCCAAGGCATCTCGCTCTGCTTTGACATGATTTACTTGGTTCTAAAAAGGGGATTTGGAATAACGTGAGCCAGTGGGTTCGACGAGTGCCAAAAATGGAATGGAATTATTTTTCCGTCCGTCACATACCTTGACCACCATCATCTCCTTTTTCATGCTCTTGAGCGCAAAAATCTGCCCGGTTCGCGGGTCGTCTCGTTTTCCTTTGCGACGAACAAGGCGGACTTCTCCAAAAGCACCTCTCCCAATCACAGCCAAGGATTCAAAATCCGTTGGGGTGAGCATCTTGCTGTTCTCCTTCTTGAATTGGATTTCCTCCCTTGCCAATTTTTCTCGGAGATTCTGCTTCTCTTTCTCAGGCAATCCAATCATCTGACGCTCCAGCTGCATCTTTCTTGTCTGCTTGTCTTCCTAAAGGTCCAGTCAGCATAATTACAACAATAACAACGTGAGGAAAACAACGAAGAATGCTTCTCGCGAAATATCCAAAAGTCAAATCGAATCGAATCGTACCACCGAGGTCTTCAATCCTTTGTATCGCTGCGAGAGGAGTGCCTTGGCCCTATTGGCCCTCTCCTCCATCTCTTTATCCGCAGCAGCCACCGCATCTTCATCTGAAAGTGGAGCGGACATGGTCGACTATCTATCTTATCTGCGCGGTCGCGATGTGAGGGCAACAAGTTAACAACCGGTTGCGCAAAGATCGAAGGAGAAAGAACCACCTGGGATCTGAATGAAAATGCGCCGTTGCGTTTTCAAAGAAAACGTCAGATAGCAATAATAAATTAATTCAAAATAGCTTGCTTAAATTTGAGAGGTTGGCTAGTGTAGATCTTTCGAATGAGTCAATCTTCAAGGTTTTCTCATTTTATGGACTTTGGAACTCTTGGGTTACTGTACCACCCACTCTTGGAAGACGATCAAGCGCTGTGCACAACATGATACCCCATTTGTGAGGTTTAGACCAGGAGCGTCCCTCAATCGTGGGTGAGTTTTAAATCCGACCCAAATCCGACCCTAAATCTTCGAAACCCGACCCTAATTCCATGTAGCAATAGGGTCGGTTTTGAAACCCGCCCCTAAATCGAAAGCCGTCCCTAAATTAGGGACGTTTTTTCAGAATCCGTCCCTAATTTTAGGGTCGGTTTCGAAACCCGACCCTATTTTAGGGTCGGATTTCAATGTATTTACCACTCAGTCCCGCTTCCATTTAGGGACGGTTTTCAAACCCGCCCCTAAATCGAAACCCGTCCCTTAATTAGGGACGTTTTTTCAGAATCCGTCCCTAATTTTAGGGTCGGTTTCGAAACCCGACCCTAAAGGGGAATCCGACCCTAAATCCGACCCAAAATTAGGGTCGGTTTTCGATATGTCATGCACGATTGAGGAACGCTCCAGTACAGGTATTCATTGCATTCTGATGAAGGGATACCACTAGTGATCGTTATCCATTGTACCGTAACCGTACGGGTTCATCGGTTTTTAGGTTGGAAGAGTTCATTGGCATTGTTTTGTTTCGAGTTAACAGAGTTGCCGGATCACAATTCCAGTCTTTGAAGAGAGAGAATAGAAAAGAAGTACCATGAGCGAAACAACTGAACAGCGTGCTTTGTCCATCATTCCTTATCACGAACTTGGGGGAGTGCACCCAGATGCCAATGTCGTGGGACCAACGGAAAGGTATTACAAATGCAGTGGTGAAAAGGCTGCAGATCTCCTTGCAATGTGCATTGGTCTTACGACTTTCGACTCACGGGAGGGAGGCAATGTGGATATTGAGCCGTACTGCTCAATGAAGTTGAAGAAAAAGGTAACTCCCACACAGAAGCACTTCTGTGAAGAGATTCGTCGCCGATGCATCCTTGAAGGCATTGTTCCTGGACCAAAGTGTGGAAACTGGGAAAAGAAGAAGTGTGTCGCTTGGCTGCAGGCACATCCCCTTCAGAACAAGAACGATCGTGCCTTTGTTGTTGCCGAAGAGATAAAACTCTTTGATCTGGTGATGAGGGCTGAAGTCAAGAAGAAAGATGATAAGAGTGAAAAGAAGGAAAAGGCTTCTCCATGGGTTCACACCGAGCCATACATACGCTTGATTGAGTGTATGTTGGACGATTCCATCTGCGAACAGTTCCTAGAAATGTACAGGATGGGCGACAGAGAGGAGTTAGATGCCCGCAACTCTGACGACAGGCCTGAAACGGTATACGAATCTTGTGCTCGCTCATTCAATGATCCAGACCATGACGTCTTCTCTCGCTGCTTACCTGATCTGCACTTCACCTTTGCTGAAGTCTTGGATTGTTCTTTCGAAAAGATGCCTGAACAGATAACTCCGGATGAAGTCAAGCGCCACTGGGGTGACTGCCGTGCCAAGTTGATTAAGATAATTGCCAAATGGGAATTGAGTGGCAATGGATTTGGCCAGCGTGTACAGGAAGATGACGCATTCGGGCATCTTGGAGAAGATGAGTTGCAGTGCGGTGACAACAGGGCAAATTTCCTCGACTCCCAGACAAAGGAACACATCCTGTACTTGTGGCATGTTTCCGATGACCAAGAGGTTCTGAAGAATGTGATGTCTGTTATCGCTGACTCCTGTGCTGCCAGTACATTGGCCTGTTCTTCAGTTGCGGCTTCGGATAATGCCAGCGCTCGCAAGAGGAAAGTGGACGAGAGAGCCCTTGGTTTCTTCCGTGCCAAGATGAGTCTTGCCATGCACACTATGTCTCGTGCTGCCATCTGGAAGGAACTTCGCGAAACCCAGGAGAAGCTGTTCGAATCTCAGCTCACAGTGATGAAGACAAAGAGCACCAACTTGAGTGAGCTGTACATGGGACGCATCCGTATGCTCGAAGCAAATGTCACTGCCATCACAGAATGTCTTGACGCCTTGGACTGTGAGGATGACTTGAAAGCCAAGAAAAAGAAGAGGAAGAAGTCGATCCCCTCACTTGTACATGCAGGAGTGGTCGACAGTGATAACAGCGATGACAGTGATGACGACGGCGATGATGATGACAATATTGTTGCTGGATCGAAGGAGGCTTCAGTTGGATACTGATGAGCGCCATGGTGTTTGTTCTTGCTTTAAAAGAAAGAATCGATTGTGTTGTGGTGGTGGCAACGATGTGAGTATTGGAGTACTTGTTGCCTCTGGTGATAAAGAGTTAGTTTGAAGCGTTTGACAAATGTGCTGGACTTAGAGATTAGAATAGTAGACTTAGGATGCACTAACCAAGTTCCTCGCTTTCGTCCATCTCTGTCAAGAATAGTCGCTCGCAAACAGTTGGTCCTCTCTCAAATTTGACGATGCGTTGACAAACGTTCCTGGACCGTTCCTGCACGAGCGAATATCGTTCCAGCACGAGCATGGCTAATGCTGTCTACAGGGATCATATCGCTGCGCTCATGTGCTAAGTAATGTATATCTCTAGCAACTAAGTCTGATAAGAGCGAGCAGGTGTCTTTCCGCCCCAATTCTTTGGTGTGGGTTGCTTCAGATCAAGGCGTTTGATTGTAGCTATCGTGCATGAGCTCTCTCGGGAGGCGGTCGTCATTCTTTTTCTTCCTATAAGCACGAGTCCAATAAGAGATTGCAATACACGGCTCTTAGCCTTATTCGCGACTCGATCCTAGATAGGGTTTGAGTTCGACTCATGACTGAGTCTCTCGTGAATAGTCATCGAGACAGGGTTCTCAATGACCGCTCTAGTCATACTAGGTTGATGATGAAACATCGCTCTAGATATTTAGCCAGCGTGAAGTACTTCCACGCTACTAGATAAATGCTAGACGAATCTTCCACGCGTTCCGTTTTTGGATCGTGGAGTGAGTAGGATTGCTACCGCAACCTACTCTATCACACTCTACAGTCTCCCGCGGGAGTTCAGATCTACGATCCTTTGATTGTGGATCTCTCTCGTTGATTAGTTTTTCATAGCTTTCTAATCCTCTCATAACTTTCATTCTCTCAAACTCAAAACACTCGAAAGATCTTTACACTAGCTTTTAGCGTAGTGCATTTTGTTAACAAACACAATAGCTTTCAGCTACCCTCAACCTATTCCTCACCATGAAGATTGCCAAAGACGCATACACCAGCTTCGAGTCTAAGCTGCGTGACAAACCAATCCTTCCTCTCATCGACCCTCGATGATGAATGCGAAATCGACGATTCTCGCTCTACCACCTACAAACTTCGCACTATTCCAGCAGATGCTAACAGCGCCAAGTACACCTTCAAGGTCCAAATCATCAATGGATCTGAGACTCCACGTCAGACCATCAAGTGGGCTGGACGTATGGAGAAGGTCTTCGTCGGGCTCGCCATTGCTACGCCTGACGACAAACATAACCTCCTCAAAGGGAGATGACTTCTAGCTCTGCCAAGAGCAGTTACGAATCTAGCTGTGCAGGCCATCCGTGAAATACGTTGGAATGCCTTGCGCCAGATTGCAGTCAACGCGATTCCTCCACGCGACATACGTCGTGGCGGTGAAGACGAAGCCACTTCCAAGCACGTTTCCAGGCTGCCTGGAACGGAGCAGCTCAGCCTGCTTTGGACGACGCTGACATTACGTTTGGCATAAATGCCTGTATCGAAGCGGTCTGTCCCTACAAGGCTCTTGAAAAGCAGAAACGCTTCATGCGCCGCAAGATGCGTAAGCCTGCTGTATATGTCTACTCGGGCTTATGTCAACAACCTCAGTCGGATGAACACCGATGAACTTCCTCGTCTACCACCTTTTGGACCCAACCAAACGTTGAACCATGACGAAGTCATTGACATTGTTTGTCATGGAATTCCACGCTCGTGGATGAAGAAGATGGACGAACACGACTTCGATCCTTCTCAGCCTATCGGGAAACCATTGGATTCTGCGAACGCATGGAATCCTCCGAAGACTTTGACAAGGGCGGTGATGCCAAGCAAGCTCCTACGAAGAAGAACAACAGCAAGAAGTACAAGTCTACTCGCAACAACGACCACTCTTCCAAGAACGAAGAAAAATGGTGCGACTACCACGAGTCCAGCACTCACAACTGCTGACTGCATGATTTGAAGAAGCTCAAGGCCAGTCTCAGTCCTCGTCTGACAACGATAACAAGCCAACGTACAACAAGAACAAGACTGGAAACGCAAGTCCGACGACGCCAAGACCTACACCAAGAAGGAACTCTCTGTCCTCATGAAGAAGGTTCCAACGCTGCGGTCAAGGCTGATCGCAAGAAGAAAAGCGAATGCAACCATGTTGCCAAGCGCAAGTCTGACAACTCCGACAACGAGGACGACTCTCTGTTGGATCCATCAACATGATGGACAAGAAGATGGCCGCTGTCGACAAGGCGCTTGCCGAATTCGACTTCAATCATTCGGATGGAGAGATCTCGTCTGAGGATTAGGCCAGGATGATGATTCAACGGAACCATGTTCCGATTTCTCATCCAAGTGATGAAGATATCTCACTAAATAGTAAACAAGATTGTTTGCAACTAACGAAGTCTACGGCAAATTAGATAATTGCCTAGTAACTGCTCAACTAGACACTGACGATCTGTCAGCATCGTTAACTTCGTCCATGGCCAATCAACTCATCAACGTCGCACGACAAGAGACCTTGAAACTATCGTCTATGTTAGATTTAACAGACGAGCGAAAGGGAAACGAAAACCTTACACTCTGTTGCTTACTGGATACAGAAGCATCCGGAACTTTAATTGCTCAAAACTCATGCTAAGAGTTTACTCATGAAGAATCATGGGGGCGTCCAACATTACGGACTGCTTCTATGAAGGAATTAGACCCCGCACGAAGTGTAAGGGCACACTCGCGATTCCTGAGTTCCACGATGATAGAATTATCAAGTGAATTTACACGTCACCAAGAACTTGGGGGCGCAAGACGTGATCATAGGTCAAGACACTCTCTGCGATCTAAGATCAAGTTTGATTTCACTACCATGTCATTGGGTGGAACCATGCATTTTCCCGCGAAAGAGAGCAACACCAATAGAAGGAGAACTTCTCCATTTCCGATCTGCAGCTGTCAGCGACAATGCAGATAGTCTCAAGAAGATTCTTGATACGACATACGAACAAATAGGCTTAAGGCAGATATGCCAGAGTCGAAATCCGTTAAACAAGGAGGAGCAAGAACTGCCTCATGCCTTTTCAACCAAGTGCTTCGACCCAGTCGAGGATACTTTGGGAGAGTGCGAATGGACGACTACGAAGTAGAACTTCGTCCGACGTAAATCCTATTAACTAGGGCTCACCCTACTCCACGGGTCATACCAACACTCTTAAGAGGAGGTTGAACGTCTCTGCGAAACAGGGGCACTCAAGAAGGTGAATCGTTCCAAGTGGCGGCACCAACTTTTATCATTCCCAAGAAAAGAGGGATCTGACGATTCATCTCGGATTTTCGGAACCGAACAAACGGATCAAGCGGAAGCTTATCCTATCCCAAAAATACAGGACATGCTCTTGAACCCAGATGGATTCAAGTGCGCTACCAGTCTAGACCTGAACACGGGACACTACCACATCGAGCTGTCACCTCACTCAAGAACAACACTATACCATTCACTCCCGAAGGGAAAGCACAAGTACCAGAGGTTGCCAATGGGCCTATGTAATAGTCCCGATCTTCCAAAGGAAGATGAAGCACGCATGCATGACTTAGAAAATGTCCGTGCATACGTTGATGATCAACTCATCCTAACGGACGTCGATCTCGCAGATCGCGTTGAACAGTAGGATGACCTTTCCCCAAGACTCCAAGAAGTCGGGATTGAAATCAACACTACCAAGGCCTTCCTCGATAGGAAGAACTGGAGTATCTAGACAATTGGACTTCTCGAAAAGGAAGCCAACTCTTAACTAAAAAGATAACAGATGCGATCCAGCTATCGCTCTTCCTACCAACAGGAAGTAACTTCGTAGATTCATTGGACCAATGAACTACCAAGGGCTGCTCCAAGACAGCAGACGGAGTAACCATCGTTCTGACCAGACGTGGTTACCCAGTATCCATGACCGGTCGTCATGGACAGAGAACGTGAGTCCCGCGTAGAGGTCGAGAAGACTCTCCGGGATGAACATGGACTTCGTCGCAAGTTCACGCGCGTCAATCGTACAAGCTTCACCACATCCGTTTCAAAGCAAACGGAAATACATTAAGGAACGTCGCCAACGACTTATCCAGAAAAACACCGATAAGGAGAACACGCACGTGTCCTCATCAACACCATGTCAACACACTATGATGATTCATCAGTGTCAGAACCGTTAATACGGTCAGCCAACGACACAGGTCCTTACCACACAGACCGAGTCAATAACAATGGCACTGTACGGCTCCGACATACTACCGCCAATAGCGGCACAGTCTACCAGACTTGGAACATAAGGTATTTACACCCATACAAGGCCTGATCCCCTTGTAGGATTGCCATCGTGCGACGCACATGTCTACATCCAATCTCCGGAGAGTGCCCCGCACTTTAATTCAATATGTTCTCCTTTGCCGACTGATGTCGTGCCTTCCGTGACCCTTGTCAGGGCGAATGCAATACACGGCTCTTAGCCTTATTCGCGACTCGATCCTAGATAGTGTTGAGTTCGACTCATGACGTAGTCCTTCGCGAATAGTCATTGGAGACAGATTCTCAATGACCGCTCTAGTCATACTAGGTTGATGATGAAACATCGCTCTAGATATTTAGCCAGCGTGGAAGTACTTCCACGCTACTAGATAAATGCTAGACGAATCTTCCACGCGTTCCGTTTTTGGATCGTGGAGTGAGTAGGATTGCTACCGCAACCTACTCTATCTCACTCTACAGTCTCCCGCGGGAGTTCAGATCTACGATCCTTTGATTGTGGATCTCTCTCGTTGATTAGTTTTTCATAGCTTTCTAATCCTCTCATAACTTTCATTCTCTCAAACTCAAAACACTCGAAAGATCTTTACACTAGCTTTTAGCGTAGTGCAAGATGTCATCAAAATGGTGTCCGCCATCAAGCAGAGCTTCCGGTCGGTAGTCCTCACCATTGCTCTCCAGGTACATTCCTCCCTCAGCCACCACAATGTTCATCTCATCGCTTGCAAGGCGTTCGGCCACTTCCTCGGCGCACTCCTCAGAAGGTGAATATACTGGCAAATTTGTTGCCATCCTTGCTAGTCGCTCATTCACACAGAAATTATGCAACCGACAAAGGCAGCGCACGATGGCAGTTACTTTAGCGATGGTAAGGGAGGTTGGGAAGGCACGCATCAAGATTCCCCAGCGATGGACCAGCATTCCAAAAGCACACTCAATGGTAATGCGCACATTGGAATGAAAGTAGTTGTAGGAGTCCTTTGTGCCCGAACCAACTGCCTTGTATGGAGTTGCCATGGTGGGTGTATTGACGTATGCATTGTCGCCGAAGAGACAGATTCCTTTTTTCATGAAACCTGACCTCTCGATGTTGTGGTAGAGGGGAGACGATGTCCAAGTGAGATAGTCTGAGGTTGAGCCAGGATGCTTCACGTAAATATCAAGGAATCTACGGTGAGAATAACAGGTTGCCTGCATGTTCAATCCATACTTCTTCTTGCAACCACAGAAGAATTTCTTCGGACCACATTGCGCACTCTCACAGCTCTCTTCGCTTGGCCTTTCTGTCCAGATCAAGATGCCATCAACTGCTCCACCACAACAGTCGAACACACCGCGACTGGTTTTCTTAAAAATCCATCTGCAATCTTCTGATGTTCTGCATGTTCAGTTGGATAACAGAAATCCAGCTGTGGGCATTTGTTGACAGCATCCACCACCTTCCAGATACTGCGGTAGACGTCCGTATGGCCTATTCCATGGACAACAGCAATGTCATACACAGCTCCACCAGCGAAATAGCGAATTGCTGAACTGACTTGGCTTGGCAATGGAATCAGGCCGTTCTTGGCACCACTCTTCCACTTCTTCCTCTTCCTGGAAGGTTCAAGGAAGGGCTTCAGCAACCGAACAAGCTTCCAAAAAGAAGCTGGTTCCATCCGGTAAGCTCGTCTGACATAATGAGGTCCCAATTCGTTGAATATGTCATTGACGAACTCCTCTTGCGCTGCTGGTGAGGCCTTCCTCCTCCTCTGTTGTCCTGCCTGGGTTGGAACAAGTCTGGATCAGCAGCAGACAACAGGGAAACAGAGGCTTGAGCGAAGTTGGAGAACTCCTCGAGTGGATGGTCCCTCACTGATGTCACCAAAGGTAACAACAGCGACACAACAAGGACCAAGCAGCAGAGGAAAATTGTCTCACTTTTGTCTATTTGGTTATTGAATTGTATGATTAAAGACCACAACGATGGCAACAATCAACCTCGCATACCCCGTTGGTATTGGATTTGTCATTGGTTTCATTGGTTTTCCATTGCCACGTGGCCCTTGGTGGGAGTCACATTTTCCGATTTGGCAACTGACTAGTTGAAACTGTCTTCGGTGATCCCAATTTGGGCCTCATGGAAATGGCCTCCGAATGTCCGATTCCGCGATTCTCAAAAAATAGTTGAAACAGAGCCTGAACGATGCTGGAGAGATGTTCGGTCAAGGACTGCACCGGCAAGGACGACCTACCTGGTACCCTTAGGTGGACAGATCCCAGACAAACCTCCTCTGCCTCTTGCGAGCTTTGATGATCAGTTTGGCAAATGTCCTTGCCTTGTTGGTTTCCTGAGCTAGCTAGTTAGCTATTGATAGCACACTCCCCACTCTTCATTATTAGTTAGTTGTTGGCCCGTCATCAGCAAGGACAATCACAGGACGCCGTCTGCCAATGACACGTCCGACTGGAATCCGGAACCAATGCTTCAATCTGGACTCCGGACGAGAACGGAAGTTTTACTCAGTCGACTGAGTCGACTCCACTACAACCATATTATTATTGTTATTATATTACTTCCTTGTTCCTCGTCGCCAACAAACAACAAACAACAAAATTTCCTCAACGCCTCCATCACGTGGGAATGGTGCTCGGATCCTCTCCCTCTCCTATCTAACTTCTAGACATCCAGTAGACGACAAACAACGGACCCGGGTTGTTCGGTAGTCGCTTAAACATTCCAAGGCGCCAGATCCAGATCCAGTTTTCCACTCAATGTACACATCATGGAATCTGAATCTTACACCAACCAAGAATCGTTCTGGGAAGAGAGTATTCGACACTGGGCGAGACGGCTCAAGAATTATCAATACAGCTTTCCATCATGGGGCAATTCTACAGGTTCCAATGACTTTGAATCCAATCTCACACCGCCAGAAGATGTGTCGGTCGATGCCGTCGTGAGTTCGCTCTACTTCAACACTATTGTGTTTATCTGTCTGATGGGTAGCTACGAGCTGTTGCGGCGACTGTTGCCGGCCGTCTACTCTTCCCGACAACGACAATTGAATACCAGAGGGTGGAGGAGTGGCTTAAGTAGCCGAGACGATGATGAAGCTGGAGGGTATCTTCCAGAAGGAGAACCAGACGACGGTTCCTGTGCCGACTTGAATCAAACATCTTCCCTGAGTTCCTTACCAGACCAAAGACCGCTCGATTGGATTGGGCCCGTCTTTGGGATTCCCTGGGAAAAAGTACGACAAAAAGCTGGACTTGATGGTTACTTCTTTCTGAGGTAAGTGGTGACATTAATTCTAGGATATGCTTATGCATCCAAACAAACATACATGTGAAGCTTCCGATTCTTACCAGGTGTGTGGCGTGATACTCACTCTATTGCTCTGTTTTTCCTATTGATAATATGCACAGATATATTCGGATGTGTGTGAGAATCACAGCTGTATCTAGTTTCTGGGCATTCATCCTTCTTGTACCACTCTATGGAACTGGGGCAACTCAGGAAGGCGCTGAAGGGTGGTATCATATCAGCATTGCCAACATTAGTAGACATAGTTGGCGCATGTGGGTTCCGCCATTCTTTGCCTGCTTCTTTACTGGATTCACATTCTTTGTCATGAAGCAGGAATACAAACACTTTGTGCAGTTGCGAATGGTAAGTTTTCATTCAACTTTCGGTCAGGTTGGTGCTGCAATCTTGATGGTGGTGAATCAGCCGCAAATATCATCTTACCGTTTTTTTTTGGACGCGTAGGAATTCTTGGCGAAAGGAGACACCCATGTACACCCGCAACACCACTACAGTCTCATGGTGGAGAATATCCCAATAGAACTACGCAGTGATCGAGCGTTGTTTGAATACTTTGACAAACTGTTTCCAGGAAAGATCCACTCTGCCAGTGTTGTACTCAATCTACCGGATTTGGAAGCAGTGTCGGCCCGGTGCCATCGAGTTTGTGAGCGATTGGAAAAGAGCATTGCATACTACGAGGCATACGGAGATCGACCGACCCATTACGTGGGTGTCCCAAGAATAACCGTTTTGGGTCTACAATCCCCGCCGCTGAGCTGCTTCTGTTGCAAATCAACCCGTCCGCTTCGATTCGACGGAGACGACATGGAAACGCTGCAACGGCCCCAGAGAGGGGCACATGTGGACAGCATTAGTTATTACATTCAAGATATGGCCGCAACAAGCAGAGCCCTCATCAAAATGCAGAAGCGGAAATCACGAATTGCTCAAACTGGAAATCGGGAAAAGAACCCACGCAATTGGATCGACAAAGTCATGGAAGTGGCCTCAGAATATGCCAAGCAAATCATGGAGGACTCGGAAATGGAGAATGCACTACAATCAAAGTACACTCCCACTCGCAGAGGAACCGCTATCCCGCAGGTTGAGCAGATGAGCATTCACGGATACGGGAGTTTTGGTTACCAACGGCAACCAGTCTCTACTCCTCCTCAAGGGGATCACTGTGATGTGGAATGGAATGTGCCGTATGATACGGATCGAAGAAGTCATCTGTTGTCACCGGAAGATGCATTCGTAAGTATCGGTATGATGTGTGTTTGTTCGTGGAGGGAGGTAGTAGTTTCCTGACTGTTTTGTCCAATCCTGTCCTATCCCCTAGTATCGGCAACACAGTGAGGCTTCCCTTGGTGGTGATGGTGGTGCCAGAAGACGGCCAAGTTCTATCCGCCAGTTCCCTGCCCCGGGGGCAGAAGATCACCACAGAACAACCATCCGCAAAGTACTTGGGCGACTAGGCCTCGATTTTATTGTGTCCGGGGTTTCTTTCATTAACAGGCAACTAGGTACGTCAATTGATTGGTGGTCGCCGTGCTTCGCAAGGTGAAAGGAAATGGCTGTTTGCTCACCTATCTTATGATTGGGTTTTAGATATCACTGTGGAAGGCGTGGTTGGGACCACCATGTCGTCTACTGGGTTTGTTACATTCCTTGATTTGACCTCAGTCACTTGCGCGGCCAGCGCTCCTTTGACGCATAAACCGGGAATGCTGAATATATCTGTTGCTCCGGATCCAAAGGAGATTCGATGGCGAAATGCACATGCTCCCCAGCGAGACTGCGAACGACGAGAAGTGATTGTGAACTTCCTACTGTTTCTGGGAGTTATTCTGTGGTCTTTCCCTTTGGCAGCTATCCAGGCGTTTGCAAAGGCCAGTTTCATTGCACAAATCCCTGGAATGGAGTGGATTCTTACCTTTCAAGGTGGAGCTCTTACTGCTTTTGTCAATGGTTACCTTCCTGTTTTGGCTTTGCTTGGCATCATTCTGATTCTGCCTGTGATTTTCGAAGCAATTGCTGTAACCTATGAGCGGCGCAAGACGTTTTCTGAGATTCAACGCAGCATCCTGAAGCGGTACTTCTACTACCAGCTGGCAAATATTTACATCACAGTCACTGCTGGTTCTTTGTGGAAGTCCCTTGGCGATATCATCGATCATCCATCCAATGTGCTGCAGCTGCTTGGGCAGTCACTTCCAACCATGGTTGGCTACTTTGTAGCACTTCTCGTGACGAAGATTCTAGCAGGGTTGCCAATGATCTTTCTTCGGTTCGGTGCTCTGAGTCGGATGCTTCTCCTGAAGTCACTCTCTGCAGAGAATAAGCTCACTCAAAGAGAACTGGATGCTATCTACAGGTAAGACGTTGTTTTAGACTGCTCCTCCTCCTCTCGAACATCGCCGATATAGCCCCTCACATTGCAATTCCACTTTTGACAGGCAAGAGAACGTCCAGTACGGCTGGGAATTCCCGAGCCAGCTCTTGGTGATCGTCATTGTATTCACATATGCAACGCTGTGTCCGGTGATCTTGCCTGTGGGGATGCTCTATTTCATGGGCTCTCTCATTGTGTACAAGAAGCAAGTGTTATACGTGTATACGCCCATCTACGAATCTGGTGGAACTCTGTTTTCCGACGCCGTACAGCGCACTCTGTTTGGTCTCGTCTGTGGCCAATTGACTTTGATCGGGTATTTCTTGACACGGGGAATCCGGTATCAGGCTCTGTTCCTTCTGCCTCTTCCCGTTTGCACGGTGTATGGAATGCAGTATTTCAAGCAGCACTACGCGGATCCAAGCATGCTCCTAAGCATGGAACGAGCCAGAGAATACGACAGGGTATCCGAGTATCACGACGACGACGAGACTCCTCCCCGAGGTGGTGGTTTGGGATCGCCGAGAAATGGAATTGAGAGTCGAAGAAGAAATTTTGACAGCTTCGCGTATAAGCAGCCTGTTTTGACGGAGCGAGTTATAGAACCATTACCCTACAGACGGGGCAAGAACGACGAGATGACGTTGGAAGCTAGGGAACTTCTTGGTCGAATCAGGGGGCTTGCTGCTGAAGAATCTGACCCAAGCCACAACGCCGAACACTCCCCGGCTCGTGACATTGGGAAAACTAGCCAAAGTCCTGACCCCAACTCTGGGTAAACTAGATGCACGTTATAGACGTTCACGCCTCCTCTCTTGAGCGCCATTCGTTCTTCCTGGTTCGATTAGACTTATAGATTCCATTCGTTTGCTTGATTGAATTGATTACACATAGGTAATGGTCTTGTTCAAAAAGGGAGTTTCCTCAAAGAGAAGTCCCCTGAAAGATCACTGCGATGACACCCAAAAACACACACACCACACGAACACCAACACGGCAGTTTCAGAACAGAACTTGTCGCTATAATAGTGTACAACAACCTCCATCTCCACCGCCTCCTCCTGCAGACGAGTGATAGACATTGTGGTCTGCGACACCCTCTCGGGTCAGGAAAAAGTCCTTAACTTCGGCTTCCTTGATATTCTTGATCACTCTTGCGCACGCTTTGCTGGTGTTCTCTGCCTTTTCCACACCCGCCAGAGTCTTCTTCAGCGTGGTTACTTCTTCTTGCAGCAGCTGCAATGCCGTGAGGCCTCCACCTTCTTCGTCTCCCATGGTGCTGTCGTGCTATTACAGAAGATGACAAGGGTATATCCGTCGGTATCGGAGGGTGTCGTGTGAGGCATCGGGTCATCGTGGGCGGTTGAGGTCCAAATATTCTGAGTCATGAATCGGGAATCCCACACCATCTTTTCGGAAAATTGATCGCTCGGTCACGACAGGACGAACTTGATGCCAATCGAACCCCAAATCCAACCATAGGTTTCCGCTGTGAAAGGGGGGTTGAATAGCGTACTCTAGCCAGAGTCGGCATCGCTTGTGTTCTGCTCTGTCTCATCGACAAAGCAGTTTCCTTGCATCATGAAATTATCTAGAAATAGATACTTTTCCCTTGCTGGGCGCGGATTTACCAAAATAGTACAGAGATTTGCCATCTCAAGGTGGAACTAGAGGCAGATGCCTATCCCAAGACTTGGAAACTGTATGGTATCGTCTAATCTGTTTGATTGCTCCCAAACGCATGCTTGTTTTCAGCCCGCAGCGTGTATTTCCACTGTCAAATCGGATGGAGTCGACTCAGTCACTCCATGCGAATGATGTTTCCAACCTACTAGTAGACTAATGAAGAGAGTTTCTGTGGTCCTGTACCGGTAGGGGTGTTTGCAGCTTGCCGGGACACTGTGGAAAGACGACTTGTGAGGCTGATCAGAATGCCAACCCCCCTACTGTGACGATGGAGAATGCGTCAATGTATGCTTTTCAAGTTTTCAATCCGATCTCTTTGCAATAAACGTGGGCAGATGCCTTTTGCAGACGGACCACTGTTTTTATATTTTGGTGCCAGTAATACTACGGATTCGGGAAGAACTGTCCTTTCCCATGCTCCGAAGGGGATTTCCCACCCTGGGAAGGAGATTTTTCTTCCTGGTACATAGGTTGTGTAGGTTTCTACGTGAGCCTTCGAATCCAATCTCGCGATCAACCGAAATCCGAACTCATCCTAAACTCTAACCTTAAGAACACTCGGAGTCGACACTGTCCCTTAAGTAAAGCTCAAGGGAAATTTGCTTGGGGACCTCGGAAATCGGCTTGAGAGGGTGGGAAATCAGCTTCGGAGCATGGAAAAGGACAGTTCTTCCCGAATCCGTAGTACCCGCGCGCTGGAATTCAAGATTGAAGAGGAAGACATCACGAGAGTCCTTTGTTTGGTGATGTGAACTCAAGGTGGATGGAGTGGCCTGTGACAGGTGCCTCGTTTGTAGCTCAGCAGCCGTAGAATTTGGTGGATTGCTCCAACATTGTCCCCGGCGCCACCGTATCCTGTGGATCGTTGCAATACTTGTAGTATGGTTTTGTCCACAAACTGATTATCCTGGAGGGAGGCCACCCCCATGAACCGGCGCAGGCACCCACACGTATTTCCTCTTCTGATGAAAGAGCTGGGGATTGCTCCAGCCACGCTCTTGGCGGCGCTATAGTCCCTTTGGTCACAACCAGCAGGACTTTGTTGTTGCGCACTCGGATTCTTTTTTCACTCCGTCGAGAATTCAACTTAAGTTGGAAGGTCATGCAGGGCTGACGTTCCACCATCCTCCCCATCCTAGAGCTTCCGCTCTGAGCCAAAACAACGAGAGTTTCATAGTTCAGATAGCTTCTAGTAGTTGACTTATGCAGAGCGTGCCAGCGTCGTAAGGAGGCGTGATGTATTTGTACACACTACGTTCTGCCAGAGACATCGTCAATGAGATGTGGCTAAAGCAAGCAGGTCCTGGATGGGTGCCATCTTTCCTGACAACCCAACTCGGCAGATTTCGACCACAGCTGCGATTCCGATTCGATTCATCGTTCGATTCAGGCCTCTGCGGGCCAATGATTTGGTTTCAGTTTGCTTGTTGTCGTGCTTTCCGATTGTCCTAAGGCTATACCGGTAGCCATCGGTCCCAGCCTACCTCGCGTTACCGTTGTTCCAGCAGTGCCGCGTTTTGAAGATAATACTCCTTCAAGTCTATCCTTCGGCGCACTCTAGATCACTCGACGTTCGACGCCCAAGATCATCGTCAACCGCCGCGCTTACTATGCCTGAGTTGTGGTCTTCTTCACTGTTCGTTTGGTATGATTCTTCCGGTTTGTTGGCTTCCTCATCATTCTCCGTTATCCTTCTGCGAACTCTAGATCACTCGATGTTCGACGCCCAGTATCATCGTCCACTGCGGCGCTAACTATGCCTGGGTTGTGATCTTCTTCGCCCTGCGCTTGGTATGATTCTTCCGGTTTGTTGGCATCCTCGTCATTCTCCGTTTGGTTGGCTTCTTCGTCTACGACATTCTCGCTCTGTCGGGCGTTGCTCTCAGTATTGTTTCGAACTACTTCATCAAAGAGCATATCCTGGTTGGAAGCTTCCATACTTGATGTTCCCGTATCTCGTTTCGCTTCTTGTCCAGAATCGTCAACGTTCTGACCATCACGGTGCGAAGTGGTGCTGCGATCGGCACGGCCGTTGCCGAGGCAGCTACATCCAAGCCCGCAAGTCAGGAACGAAATGAGCTTTTGCCGGGTGGCGGGTCGATCTCGTGCAAACGTCAATAGGTTGAAGAAGCCTTGCAATGGTTCACAAAACAGGGCAGCCACGACCACACCAAATGGGCTCACTCCCGTGTAACCGTAGACAGACCAAACCGTGGAAGGCAAGAAGGTGATCACGAAGATAACCGAATAGAGAATCGCCTTGTTTGCAATGCGAGCCAGGTCATTGCGGCTTCGTCCCTGAACATGGTTGGTGGCACTGCTACGATTGCCTCCGACGCTTCCTCGTAGATTGGAAACGCTCGCTCGGACACTGCTTCGGACACTGCTTGAAATGTTTGTGTTGCTGCTCGCTTGTCCAAAGGCGTATCTCAATAGGCGCAAATGGGTCCTTCGTACTTCGACAAAGATCATTATCAAGCAAAACAAGATGATAAGGAAGGACAAGTAGATTGGTACGTAAAAGACAACCACAGCGTAGACCCAAGCTTTTGGTTTATTGTGTGGGTCGGAACACGGCTCTCCTGTTTCCACGTCAATGCCTCCATAGCAACCCCAAACTTCCGCTGGCCAACAAATGGATCCAACAGGTTGGTAGATATGAAAGAACATCATTACAAAATTGATTCCAAAGGCCCAGACAAAAATCAAAGGGTATATGTACTTTTCAAATCGGGCAATCTTGGCATCGGTCCACCGGTAGACGATAATGAGCGTACAGTACACTGCAATGCAGGAATTGAACATGGGAGGTCCACAAGCTGAAAGAACCAAGAAGCCTTGTAGATTGCAGGTTGTCATGTTTCCCGCGCTGCCCCAAATGAAGCCTTTTGGTACGAACCAAGACGACATCAAATATCCAAAGGAAGACAAACAGTCAAAGATGCTCATTCCAACCAAGGCTCTCTGGATGGGAGTGCCCTTGCCTCGGCGATGGTCGTTGAATACCTCGTAGATAATAAACAAGGAAGAAGGAAGGGATAATGCTGCAGTACACCTTGGCACCATCGCCATCGTCTTCTGCTGTGGCAGTGTGAACCATTCATCAATTATATAGGTCATCTTCTAGAGCGTTGCTTGTTGTTTGTTGTTGTTGATAATGAAGTGCAAACTCCAAACTTTGAGGAGGTCTTCAGAAGGTTATACCAGCAACCACCAACTGATTTAACTGGCCCCGAGTTATGGCACAGTCGCGTCGTTTCTAAGGATGATTGGATTCCAGTTTCTACCAACCCAGAGTTGTCTTCTGCAGAGTATTTAGATGCAGAGCTCCCACCCTTGCGGTCTAATGACACCTTGTGCAGCAGCCCAAGTAAGTGTGTTACATTGAGGTGCCAAAGCAACCAATGTGATAACCATCGTGTGATGTCATGGCTACCAGCCAAGGTCTAGCTAGCTAGCTAGGTACTGCAGAGAAGAAACTGCAAGGCACCCACAAGCTTCAGTAGCATCGGAGCATAGTACAGCGGCCCCCACCGGTTTTCGGAAAGCTGACCTCGACTCGGATGCCCCTTCCCCCTTCCACCTTCCACATTCCACAAAGGCGGCCATTCCTGCACGGAAACCACGAGTTAGACATCAGCGGTGTGCATGCAGTTTTGGACCGTAAAACTTTGGTTTTCAGTCTTTTGATACAATGTCATGTAACTCTGGTGGCTACCGTACTGTACGGTACAGCCCGTACCGGTATGTGCTGCGGGTACTACTGTAGTAGATGTAGGAGCTATGTACGGCTATCTATTGGGCATTGGGGCGCTGCGGTACTTGAAGCAGGCCAGCTAGGAGCCCGAAGGAGTTGAATTGAGCTCGCAGGAGTCAGCCAGAATGAATGAAGCAACTGTGAGAGCGACGTCGCCTTGTGAGTTGGTTCAATGTCCTTCTATTAGCAGACCATTCTTCTTCCGTCGGCTTGAGCGCTCCAGATAGACGAGAAAGTTCAAGCAAAACTATGTCCTCTCATTATGACCGACATATGACATCTCTACAGGTGTTACGGCACTAGCTAGATGCTACCATACCCAAAATGTTACGGAGACAACCCATTGGTCACTTTCCGGTTGTTGGACTGACAAATTAAGTGAATGCATGATACTATCAGGAACCTTATCCTTTGACTGCACAGCAGCAATTTGCTTGCTTGTGTACCAGTATGTACATGTAATCAATCCAATGACTACTCTGAAGCGAAGCAAGGTTTGCAGTCCGCAAGAAGTCTCAATGTGCAACATGATACTTCGTACGGTGGTAGCCTACTGGTATGCATAGTACCTCATCGCCAGCAGGCGGGTTGTGGGATTCAACGTTTCAAACACTTTTCGTGGTGGTGGGAGTGGATTTGAGGAAGAGAGGCGGGTGCTGTTGCTGGGCTCTCAACCGTTCGCGGTTTGTTGGTGTTCACTTAGCGGAGGATGAAATTTTTAAAAGTACGAGGTCAGGCATACCATCAGTGGCAAGCTCGACGGCAATGCGCACAATTTGTTTTGTTGATAGTTTCATGACAGCCCTTGTATTGTACCCGTACCAGAAGGAATCCCTGGCCCATGCCAAGGAACGAAACACCATCGTGAACCTTCCCACAGGAAGAGGGAAAACTCTCATTGCCGTGAAGCTGATCGAGCATTGTTTGCAGGCATATCCGGCGAGGAAGGTTGCATTTTTGGTGCCAACAAGAGCCCTTGTTGAACAGCATTATAAGTATTGCAAGGATCACGTTCGTTTACCACATGGATCCCCACCTTCCATTCAGAAGCTAGCCGGTCAAGCACAAGCCTATTGGGATGAGTCCGATTGGAATGAGGCATTTCGCTCCAACCATATCTTCGTTGGCACAGAGAAGCTTTTCCAAGATGCGTTCGTAGCAACCAAATTCCTCGACATTGGCAGCTTTAGCCTCTTCGTCTTTGATGAATGCCACAAAGCAGTTGGCAGCGCCCCCATGGCTGTCGTGATGAGAGATGGGGTCGCCCCTCACCAAGCACAAGGATTGCACGGGCCCAAAATACTGGGGTTGACTGCATCTTTTGTGAGTGGCAGCCTCAAGAACATGGAAAAGAAGAGGCGAGATCTCGAAAAAGTGTTGCTTTCAACTCTTATCTGTCCTGATGTTCGAACCAGGATCGGAGATGACAGCTTTAGGTTTGTGAACTGGAGTAAGAGTCCCCACATCGATCGGCAAGAGGGCGCCATAAAGGCTCACGTCGAAGCGGCTGTTCAGCATGTAGGTCAGATCAAGGAGCAGAAAAAGATCATTGCCCGCTGCGCCTACGTTTTCCAGGAGCTTGGGGCTGACGCTCTCTTCTTTTATGTTGAGAGAGTGATTGTAGCGCAGGTGTTGGCGAGGGCAAAGATCCTGATGGAGCTACCAGACGCAGCCAGTGTGGACTGCGGTGAACGAATGTTGGAAGGAGTGCCAGCCCTCAGAAGTGAAGTTGCGGTGTTGCGCACAAAGCTCCTCGCCGATCCTTTGGTGCAGCAGGCCGATCGTCGATCTATAAAGGTGCAGAAGCTGATTGACCTTTTACAGGATCAGTTTCTCCAGAACCAGAACGGTCATCGAGGAATGGTATTTGTCCAACAGGTAGCCCTTGTGTCGTCCCTGGCAAAGGTTCTGAATGACACTTTATCGGTCTTGCATGTTAAATGTGGAGCTGTGGCTGGATGTGGTCACCAAAGTGAATTCGAGCGTCAGGCACAACTTGATCATTTTAGAAGTGGGGAGATTCAGATCATTGTTGCGACGCCTGCGTTGGAGGAAGGTATTGATGTGCCTGAATGTGCATTTGTAGTGCGCTACACGGCGGTACAAACAACCAAGGCTCACATCCAAGGAGCAGGACGAGCTCGTCACGAGAATGCCCAAATCTTTTATTTTGAGAACGACCCTCAAGACGAAAGACAAAAAGAGGCAGCCATGAACACTGTCGCAAAGGACAGGACCCTAGCTTTGACAGCCGATGATCTCCAAAAGGCGATCCATGAAATCGACTCCCCCCGTGACAAGCGTCACCCATATCCTTTGAACTGCCGAATGAATCCATCTGCAGACAGCACGGGAGAGGTCAATGTGTACAACTGTAAGGAAATCTTCAATCGGTACTGCTCGGTCATGCTCGGGACACCAGTTCAGCCCAAAAAGATCCTGTACAAGTACACTGTCAAGGAGGATGGCCGCAAGTTCCTCTCCAAAGTGAGGTTCCCCTCTCCACATGGCTGGCAACACCTCACTTATGATAATCACTACATCCTCTTTTGGGGCAGAGCGAATCTCGATAACTTCTTTTCGGCTGACCGAACCAAGCGAAAAACTGTTTCGGAGAAGGAGGAGATGACTTTTGTGTATATTGTTGTTGTCACACTTCGCGAAAAGGGATATCTTGATTGCCACAACAAGCCCAACAAGGCATGTCAACTTGAAGCGCGCAGAAACTGCGACGTCGACTCTGAATGGTCTGATGCCATTCCCATCAAAGATCGCGTCTTTCAGAGCTATGGAGCGCCTCTCGAGGAAATTTGATGAAATCGAGCTTGTAGGATTGTGAACTCGAAAGCAGCATTGCTTTCTTCGGTCAGAACCCGTCAGAGGAACGCAAGAAGTTATTCTGTATACCTTGCGGCTTGTATTGAGAGCATTGGTCCTGTGCACTGAACTGGTTCCATGTGGGTGTGCATATGCATGACGTACCAGGTAGTCTTTTCTATGCACTTAATAGCACCTCTTCCACATTGCCATTGGCACCAATCTGTACGTAGTATGCCCTTTGAAGCGGAAGACCACTTTGTGTTTCAAACAAGCGTTGCTTGGTCTGAAGAAATGTTTGTAGCGCCACCAAGAACTTTTGCATGTCCCATGGATCCTCCACAATAGATGCTGTGGCTCGTGGCACTACGGGCAACAAGTTCTCTTGTAGTAGGGTGAATCCAATGACACGAAGTACAGAGTCATGGACTGCCCTGTCGGCACCTCTCGGTGTGCCATGTATTCCGACAGTACCGCCGCTGCGGGGAGCCACTGCACCATGGTGAATCACTGGAAGCCCCACAATGGATTGTGGAGTGGATTTTTCCGCTGTGGCCAGAACGACTCGGGTTTCTCCCGTCATTAATGTTTCGGCCAATAGTTTGGCTTGTCCACCATTCCACATGAACAAGGATACGGCCGACAAGGGCCAATTCTCGGGAATCATGGTGGCAAAGGGTCCCAAACAAATGAGATTGGGCAGAAACGACACTAGCACGGCAGACCACCAGGGTCCTGTGCCAATCAGAGCAGAGCATTGAAAACCAACAATGTAGGTGGAGATTGTCGTAATAAACACAATGCCAACTTGTTTGGACATGAGGAGGAAGATGCCAATGTGCATGAGGATCATTCCCGTGCAACCAATATGGCGCGTGTTGATTGGCAGGAAGAGTGTCAGTGGCACCACGACACATTCAAAGAGAATGGTGGCCACGGCAATCCCACTGGTGGCCCAACTGCGCTGACAAGTCCATCGATTCCAGGATGGTAGAAATGGACGACTGAGTTTCATCTTGGCCCCATAATATGCCGATAAATAAAATCGCATCGTCGACGGTAGCATCCACTGCTGACCTCCCACCACAATCTTGGCCAATCCAGTGGAGAGAATGAAATGAACGGCAATTCCAAAGGACACGGCGCTGGCATACTCGCTGGAGGAACACAGACACATGGCCCAAACATTGTAGAGGAGAGGGTATTCTCCATGTCGATGTGTCACGGAAGATTCCACCAAATGATAAAGCGAGAAGATGATTGCCACTATCAGTCGGACCACAAATGATGATGATGAACCCCAACCACCAATTGCAAGGGCAAAAAGAGACAGTAGGAAAATGGCTCTCCGCCTGGAAGGTCGCTGCAAGTAATGCAGATACTGGATAGGAATCCAACTGGGTCTTGTACAAACGCTACCGTTGGTAATGTCGTACAGGTTCTTTCCCGTCGCTAATCGAATAGTAACCCACCACAGAAGTGTTGTTGAGAATTGCCATTTGTAGAATGTCTTGCTAATGTGATGCTCGTTGTCCTCCTCCATTGTTGCTTCTTTGGATATAATGCAGAAAAGATTTTGTTTGTGTTGCCGCAATCAAAGTGAAAGGGCCCGAAATCGCAATTACAAGTAATTCTGCTTCATACTTGGGTTTCGATTTTATATTTGGGTTTCGATTTTATATTTAGATTTCGATTTTATATTTAGGTTTCGGCTTGATTTTACTAGTTATTTACCATAGTAATTTGGTTTCGGTTTTATATTTAGGTTTCGGTTTTATATTTAGGTTTCGGTTTTATATTTAGGTTTGGAATTGATCAATTTAATTGGATTCTTAAAATCCTGATTTCGGGCCCTTTCAGTGGAAAGATCCAAGATCTATTCGAATGATGGATCAATCCGTTTCTATTCGATGCGAAAAATCCAATCGAACAAAGTTCGACTCACACGCGCCAATCGTTTGAGGAGCTGTTGAGGCGCCGTCGTTGCCGCCGTGCCCAGAAACTATACTAGCTTAGATACCAGGAATACGGTGTACCGGCACATGTAGCGGTACTCCCCACCACAGGAGTCAAAGGTATACACGCATTGTATTATCAATCTTGTAGCCAAAAATAGAAACGTGGGCTTTTAACAGCAGAAAGTTTTAGAGCGAGCGATCGAATCAGAATCGAATCATCACATGCACGGGCCTTCAGAATTCGTAGTATTTCAACTGCTATTTCAACTGCCAACCCCCCATGTCCTTTGGCAGCGGTCCGAGACTAAAAACTCCGATCTGCCAGCTGGCACCAACCGTATTGATTCTTGTATTGCAGCACATCAACCGCCGGCAGCATCCATGGATAGCAGCGACGGCTAGATCCTTCCTCGTCGATTCGATTCCTTCTCGATCCCTTGCCTTCCTGGTCGGCTTGGAGAGCAGAGCAAGTGAAGTCCAAGAGTTGGTCCAAGACGATCGTGGAGGACAACAATGCTCGAGCAATTTTGATGCCAACATCCGACTGTTTACACCGCTTCAACGACGAAAGCTGGGTCTCTCCCGTCTCTTTCTCGACGTTCATCCACTTCTGCTGTGAGGGGGGCAAACAATCATGAATAATCTAACGTAGCTTTTGAGCTTCAGTATCAACATCATTTGCTGACTATCAGACTGCTACTAGTACCGGTAGTCCAGGAAGGATGCTCTCAAAGAGTCGAGTCCATGTCTTCTGAGATCTTCTGCAACAAATAAATCTTCCGTTCATTGCTTTGTTGGAACCGATTGCTTGATCAAAAGGGTGCCTTGGCTGCTTTGCTGGGTGAACGAAGATAGAAATTACAGCCCCTTCGATGGCCCTCCAAGAAGTGATTCGAAGATCGTAAATACATCTCTGCTGGCCTATTTTCTCGAATCGTGCGCTGATGTGCTGCACGTTTGGCCAAAACTTCAACAGCATCACAAAAACAGCAACAATAACACAAGCAGCAGCAACCTCACCAACGAGGCAGAACAAGCCAACAAGCAAGCAAGAAGAACCGAACAAACATCTATCTTTCGAAGAGGCACATAATTTGATTTGTTGGATCAATGACAAGCGACAGTCCTGGCAAAGACAACCCGCCAATAGCCCCCGACATGATTAACCAAATCTTCACGTCATCCGATTTCCGAAAGTTGATGGAGAGTAATGATTACTCCATCAACAAGGTGTTCGAGTCGAGCGACTCGGCAGCCGCCTTGTTCCGCAGCGCCGACTTTCTCAAGAGTCTCGATGCCTACAAGGAATCCATGGCCACGGAACCCGCGGAAAAGGAGGGAGACCCATCGTCACTTTTCCGCAGCGTGGACTTTCTAAAGTCCCTGGATTCGTTGCCGAAAGAACCGGCGTCACGGCAAAACTCTGCCGGCGTCGACTACTCGAGTTACTTTAAGAGTGTGGAATCCCTCCCCAAAGACTTTCTCAAGTCGTTGGACCAATTGCCAAAACAAGAATCACCACCGCCAGTTCCAGCTCCTGCTCCAGTTCTTTCCTCGGTCAGCCGCGGAAATCCCAAGGACATGTTCACCAGTCGAGATTGGATGGGAACCTACGAGCCTGGACACGTGGACGTACAATACGACCAAAATTTGTTGTTCCGAAGTGGAGATTCCAAGGCAGGTGTCGCTTCCAAAGCCACGGCAGCCAGTGACAAGTGGAAAAACCTGTACGAGCAAGGGCTCAAGGGCAGCACTTACTCTGCGGCGGCAAAACCTCCTCCTGCCGCTACGGCGTCCTCTTCGTGGAAGGGAATGTACGAAGATATTCTCAAGAATCCAATAAAGACCGATTCCGCGTCCCATGCCATGCCTCCTTTGACGGGTGTTGCGTCCGCTCCTCCTCCAGTCTCTGCAGCCTCGTCGTCTGCTCCCTCCTCTTCCGGCGATGAACAAACAGCAACAACAAAACCCAAAAAGAAGCGTGTCTACAAGAGTCGAAAAGTTATTCCCGAAGTCAAGACGTTTGTTGATTTTACGGAAAACGACGTGCTACTGGGACGAGGAGGTCTCTCCAACAAACACCCAGGCAACAAACGATACCGACAAGAAATTGAAAATGCCAAGGCTGTGTATCGATCCGCATCCAAGGACGAGAAAACACAGTGGGCGTCCTTGTTGGTCGACTATGTCAAAAAATACGGCGGACGTTTCTTGGAAAAGGACAAGGCGACGGGGCAGTGGTATATTGTCCCGGACATTGTGGCTCGTCGAAAGGCTGGTCAGGCATTGCGAGAAGAAAACACGGCCGAATCGCGGGCCGAAAAGCGAGATCGGTACAAGAAACGACATTCCAAAAGTTGATCGAGACAAGAACGACAAACCGCGAATGGAGGAGCGGGATGCCACACTCACTCATTGGGAAAAAAGAAAGAAAAATTATTGGATGATTTTATACACGACAACAAACAAAAAGGGGCGCCTCTTCATGGAATGGTAAAGTGCAGCGGCCTTGGAAGCCGAACAATTAATTTTGCTGGAAAGAGCGACAACATTTGTCGGACAACCTTGGCGCCTGAGCACGGGCTTGAACGCGCACAGCGCTTCATCGAAGAAGGCAGCAACCAAACATGCATATAACTAAAAAACGGACGGGCTTCGTGGCTTTCAATGCGACGCCACGAGGCCTTTCTTTAGGCGATAAACTAATTAGCAATTGATTCATACACACAACAAGCAACACACATCGTAGGGCACATGTAGCAAGGATCCGATTGAAAGATTCGTGGCACACGCAAACAACTTTGTCGCGGCACACTGGCTGCATTGACGGTTGGAGCCCGTTCACGTCTGCCATCGCGTTCGAAGAATACGACGTTACCGGCACCAGACGCCGTACAGTAGCAACGATACAGAATGCACGCAGCACACGTCCTTCATTAAGATAGTGGATTGATGTTGCGCTACGTAGTTCGTGCAAGGTGCATATTGTCGCTTTGCGGTGCATCATCTTTGACAGATTGGCAACATCGCATCGCAAATTGTTCTCTCGCGCTACAGCTCGTTGGAAGGCGACACCATTGGTGCTCCCCAGTGTCCAAAAACCCGCTCGGCAGTTCCACCCATTACTGCTTGCTTGTCTTTGGGATCTGCCAACCAAGAAGATGTTAATTGAACCATTCCATCGTAGGATTCTGGTTGTTCCAACACAAACGGAAAATCAGTGCCAAACATGAGTCGTTCAGCTCCAAACGTTTCGAGGAGAGGGACCAGTCGCTCTTTTTGAACTTTTTCATAGGGAGAAGGATCTTTTAGTCGGAACAATGCCGATATCTTGATAATGACATTGGGATACTTGGCCAGTTCCAGCAATTTCTGAAATGCCGCATTGCCCTCCTCATCCAAACCGGTGAATCCAAAATGATCTAGAATGAGCATGGTATCGGGGGATTCTTGAATGAGTTGCAGAATGTCTGGATAATGCAAGGACAAACCCTGAAAACACATGACTCCAACGGCCAATTTCAGTTCGGCACATCGTTTGTAGACTGCCAATCCTGCGCCACCCGGTGTCGACATGGGAGTCCACTTTTTGTCGTCACCTTCCTTAGGCCACAAATAGGGATTGAAGCGGACACCCACCATTCCCTGCAACGCCAAATCTTCCAATCGCGACACGGCCTCTTCGGGCGACAAGGAAGGATCCAACAACAGCATTCCCTTGAATCGGGTCGGATGTGATTTCATGGCTTGCAAGACGTACGAATGATCGAATTTGTGGTTGATGGGTTGGACAATCAAGGCTCCATCGACGCCGGTAGCATCCATTCGTTTCAAAAGCTCCGACGTGGACGCAAGACTCCTCAAGGACTCGGGTGGTTCTTGACCTGAAGCATAGGGAAATCCTGAAGCCGCCTCTTCGGCACTGGCCCAAACATGCAAATGAGAGTCAATCACCTTGGTTGGTGTTGTAGACGTGGTTGACATGGCGGATGTTGTCCTCGCGCAATACAAGAGAGCAGCGGTAGCTATGGAAATGTGAAAGCGTCGGGCAGTGAAGCGGTAGAGCGGATGGATGCAAGGGATCATGCTTCCTTCGATTTGGTCTCCTTTCCTGTTGATGGCTTTCACACAATTTGGTGCCTTGCTGTGCAGCGCAGTGCCGTGCCAACCAACAGAAATCATCTCCGTTGTTTTGGTCCTCGTATCTTTTTGATTGATGCGTCATTGGATCTTCCTCATTCTTTCTTCTCAGTCACATCCTTGGTCCTCACTGCACTCACAGCTTAACCGGCCAATTCACAAACGGAAGGTCAAACTCAATCAGCGTCGCTGGCTGATCGACAGACAACCATCCTCATTTTGGGCTTTTTGGCCGACACAAACACGCTCCGCCGTCGACGCTTTGCCGGTCTCTTTGTGAGACTCGACAACAAAAGCCACAGTTGTAACAACTCTCTGTTGTTGCTGAGTTGTCAGCGCACTAGCTAGCTTTGTGCCTGTTGGGAAACCACAACCGTCCTCGACGCTAAAAGCAATAAATTCCATCACCATGACTGGCGTGACATTCGGTCCAACTACAATCCTCGGTGGAGGATCCACTCCAGCGCCTGGAGCCCCCGCTCCTGCTTTTGGCGCCCCAGCTCCAGGCGGTGGTGGATTCAATTTTGGAGGATCTGCTAGCAATCCGGCACCAGCCCCCACACCTGGTGGGTTCAGCTTTGGAGGATCAAGTGCTCCAGCAGCATCGGCTTTTGGAACCCCAGCGCCCGCTCCGGGTGGATTTTTTGGGGCACCCACTCCTGCTCCTGGAACTGCGTCGGCGTTTGGCTTTGGAGGAACTTCTTCCTCTACAGGTGGAAGTCTCTTTGGCGCCCCGACACCGGCAAGTGGAAGTCTCTTTGGTTCCCCGGCACCAGCTCCTCCTGGTGGCTCTCTTTTTGGCAGTTCGATGGGTGGTTCCATCTTTGGATCCCCGGCTCCATCCTCCTTTGGTGGATTTGGAGCCACCACACAACAACAGCAGCAGCAACCAGCACAACCACAAGTTCCTGCACATGCAGCTCTTCAGGCCCACATGGAAGCCATGAATGCTGCTGAAACACAAAAAATCAAAGCGGAATTGTCCAAATTGTATGCAATCTACACAGCGGAAGTCACACCCAGTACTCCCTCGGATGCCAAAAAGAATTTTGTTTCCATTGTGTACAATGACATGGATCAACAACAACGTCAACAACAGGTAAGTAAAACTCCCATCACTACAGCATCAAGACGCCTGCATGCCACTAACATTTCGCTTTGCACGTACCTGGTATCTCTTGTGAAGTGGCTTCATGGTGTGGGCGCCGGTGGGGAAATCTTGCCCATTGCTCCACCCAAACCACCACAAGTCTCAGAAGCAGATTGGTACAAGGCGGTGGTGGAAAACCCCGATCCGATGAACTACATGCCAATTGCCTTGGTCGGAGCTGAAGCACTGGGTGCACGACTGTCATGGCAACAAGAACGAGCCAATGAGTTGACCAAGAATGCTGAAACAATCCAGGCTAGCCATGACATGTCAAAAGAACTGTACAGACAAGCCTATCGAAAGCTGGAAGAAATCAAACGGGCACATGACAATCATCGCAAACGTCTCTTGAATATTATGCGAAAGGTGGAAATTGTCCGCTGCATGAACCAACCACTGCAACAGGACGAAGTCAAATTGTTGGGGCAATTACAACAAGTCAACATGAAAGTGAGAGATGTGCAACGGCAACTGGGTAATTTGCACATGCAAGCGCAAAAGGCACCACCCAGTCTTTTGGATGCCAATGTCAAGCTGGAGATTCCTGACCGGGAACGACTCTCCCAGATTTTCACCCATCACGCCGAGCAACTCCAGAAACTCAACACAGCCATGAAGAAGGATCTACGAGATGTGGAACTCATCAAACAGCGAGTAGTGCCAAAGGATGGTGCCGGAGCCGTGGGTCCTAATCGGTTTCGTTAGGGGGGTCTACTGCCACCTGAGTCTGGTGTTCTCAAAAGGGACCCTGGCTGTCGACTATTCGGCATTTCGATCACGGTTGATCAAATAAATGAAACGTAGTTCTAATAAAAATCATTCCACCTACTGCAGATTTGGTTGGTTGGAGGCACTGGGTGGGTCCATCCAACGTTAAAGCACAATCTAGCTCCCGTGTTTTTAAGACACTATTATATGTAGGCTGCAGTCATTGCAGCCACCTCTGCATTGTCAATAACGAGCTCTTCGTCGATCCAGCAAGAATCCAACTCGACGCTCTATTCCATGGATTGTTTCACATTCCACCCGGCCTGCTTCCCTTCGGGACACCTTGAAAAACGCCAAGACCTTTCCGCAGAAGAGAAAGAATGCTTCAGTTGAGTTCCGAGCGCACTACTAGCTAGGCAATTGCTGAGGCGAGCAAACAAACATACCTGGACGGCTTTGCCTGGCCAATTTGCCCAGAATTGGCGGCTTTATTGCGCTTTCTGGGACATCTCGAACGTAGACAATCTTTCTAGATTCGGGGCTCAGTTCATAGAAGGAAATTCCCTTTATGGTATCTGGTGCCCCTTCCAAAACCACTTCCCAGGTAAAACAAGTGCTATCCACGCCATCATCGAAGCGCTCGGGCCTGAATTCAATGCCTGGAAAGCTGAAATCTGCAATAAAACCTCGAACTTCCTCGAGCCCGCTCAGTATTTCTTCGTAGTTAAAATCACGGTACTTGATTTTGTCGTCGAACATGCGCATGGATTCGTCAACACTGGATCCTTGGACTTCCAAGAATAGGTACTTGGCCACTTCATTGGCAACTGTCGGTGTTTGTTGTTCGTATTCTTTGGGTGGTTTTGGTTCTGCATCTGCCGTGACTGCTCGCAGCAATTCGAGTGTCAAATTTCCCGGTTTGTAGAGTGGCTCTGGAATTTCTCGCACATACTGAATTTTTCCGGCATCGTTCAATTGAATGAATGTGGTACCTCGCAGCCCTTCTTCATTTCCACTGATCCATGTCCAAGCAAAGCCACAAGCCATATCTCCATCACTAATCTTGTCCAACCGTACATCGCCTCGGCCCTGGCGTTGCGCTACCTTGTCCAGCATGTGGTTGGTTACATCCAACTGCCCCACTATGGGTTGGGGTTCATAGCAATCCTCATAAACTATATCGGTTGCGCACGCTTCGCCAAATGCCTTGGCCCCAGATTCGGAAGAAAAACATTTTGAATCTTCCACAAGTTCCTTGATCAACTCTTTGGCCCGACAAAACCGTGTCGATGACGCGCTGGAAGCAGCACGAAGCAGGGTACAAGATGACGCTGACGAGGACCTTTGGAGGGAGAATCCATTTGTCACAGAGGAGGAAAGAGCCAGCACAGCAACGACTGTCACTCTAGCGAAAGGAGACCACATGATGAGCCACCGAGCGGATAATCCAATACTCTAGCTAGGCTTCTTTAACGCGTCAAACTATTTGCGTGTGATGCAGAGTAGCTGAGTCGATTCTGCTTTGGTTCTGTCAAATGATGGATTTGTGCAAGGAGCCTGTTGAAGAGATGATGGTGACAGCAGTGCGATCTTCTGAGTCGTGGTTCAACAAAAGATCCACTCCCACACCACCATTGACAAGCGCACTTGGGAGAAAACCGACACTCGCCTTTGCGTCGGTGCCGGTAGGTACAACATGCTCTGTTAGAAAGGTATTTTCGTATGACGGACAGACGACTCGGGATCCACAATCACGGTTCGTGATTGGGGATGTGTGACTCAAATCAGATGGTTATCCGATCATCATCAGATGGCCAGGTGTACAAGGAACGAGGAACAATGGTCGTCTAGATGATGCAACTACAAAGGTTAGGAAGTTAGGTCGAAGAGATGAATGCAAGGAGCGACGGGATGGAACAAATGAATGGACGGATGAAGGTCCATAGGTTTAGTAAAGTGGGAAAGCCCTCCAGGGCCAACCATGCACTTCAGGAAGATAGATCGACGAGATCTATCTGCAGATGAAACTGCGAGAAACAGAGGATCGAAAGATCCTGGTATATGTATGCATATCGGAGCTCAGTTGTAGAGCTCACAATCTGAACGAGAGAGAAAGAGAAAACGAAACAAATAGCCAGTCTACTAGACAGTAGAGCTGGAAGGATATTGATTAAATTAGAGAAATTGTGCGTTCAAGTTCACACCTTTTCAACACGTTTTAAAACGATAGCTATCAGGAAAGAGTGAGCTTGGATCCAGGTTGTCAAACAGAAAAGAGAAGAATAGAGAAGTAAGTAAAGATGTCTACGGAGGTAGAGGTATCATCGTCGAGCAAGTATCCCATCTTCGATGGGAAAGATGAGAAGTTCAGGTTCTACAAGGTCAAGATGATGGCCATTTATCAAAGTATGGGTACGTAGAACTAATGAAGGACTCTACGGAGATCATGCATACACGGCTCTTAGCCTTATTCGCGACTCGATCCTAGATAGGGTTTGAGTTCGACTCATGACCGAGTCTCTCGTGAATAGTCATTTGAGACAGGGTTCTCAATGACCGCGCTAGTCATACTAGGTTGATGATGAAACATCAACCTAGATATTTAGCCAGCGTGGAGTACTTCCACGCTACTAGATCCAGGCTAGACAAACTTCCACGCGTTCCGTTTTAGGATCGTGGAGAGACGTAGGATTACTACCACAACCTACTATCACACTTTATAGTCTCCCGCGGGAAGCCAGATCTACGATCCTTTGATGAGATTCTCTTCGCGATTAGTTTTCATAGCTTTCTAATCTCTCTCATAACTTTCATTCTCTCAAACTCAAAACACTCGAAAGATCTTTACACTAGCTTTTAGCGTAGTGCATTTTGTTAACAAACACAATAGCTTTCAGCTACCCTCAACCTATTCCTTCACCATGAAGATGGCTCAAGGAAAGCATGCGTTCCGCAACTTCGAGAAACAGTTGCGTGACAAACCCATTCTTCCTCTCGTCGACAATGACGAAGAACACGAGATCGACGATACTCGTGCACCACTTGCAAACTTCGCAACCATGTTGCCAAGCGCAAATCAGAAGACTCTGACAATGAGGACAACTCCTCTATCAATTTCAATCACTTGGATGGAGAAATCTCTATCTGAGGATAGGCCAGGATGATGACTCAACGGAAACCTGTTCCGATTTCTCATTCCAAAGTGATGAAGATAATCTCACTAACTAGTAAACAAGAATTGTTTGCAACTGATGAACTCTACGGCAAATTAGTGATTGCCTAGAAGCTGCTCAACTAGACTCTGATGATCTATTTAGCATCGTTAACTCGTCGTGGCCAACACCTCGTAAACGTCGCAAGACAAGGACCTCAAACCCATCGTCTTATGTTAGATTTAACAAGCGAGAAAAAGGGAAACCAAAACCCGTTACACTCCGTTGCTTACTATACAGAGCATTCGGAAACTTTATTGCTCAAACTCATGCTAAGAATTCGCATGAAGGATCTTGGGCTCAAGGCGAGCGTCCAAACAT